TGTGTGTGTGTGCGTGCGTGCGTGCGTGCGTGCGTGCGTGCGTGCGTGCGTGCGTGCGTGCGTGCGTGCGTGCGTGCGTGCGTGTGTGTATGAGTGAGTGTGTGCGTACCTGTTTATGTCCGAGTTAGGGGCAGGGTGTGGTTCCCTCTACATCCTTATCTCATCACAACACACACACTTCTTGACGCATGAAGATACAGAACATGCAGCATAAAAACACACGAACAGATCAAACAGAAAGTAAATTAAATATTTAATATTTTGGGTTTCTGTCTCCGTTTAACTTCAGCAGGCAGTTTTTTTGGGGGGACAGTGAAGTGAATCCAGGGGGGCGGGAGGCCAGCAGTCCGGGTCACCATGGTGTTACCATGCCACCGTTTGCTCAGTGAGCATGTAGATTGTGTAAGCTTGTGTGTGTGTGTGTGTGTGTGTGTGTGTGTGTGTGTGTGTGTGTGTGTGTGTGTGTGTGTGTGGTGTGTGTGTGTGTGTGTGTGTGTGTGTGTTTGCTCCTACTTTGATGAAAGGATTCTTCTTGTGTCACCATAGCAAAGTGTACGGACAGTTCATACAGAAAGGACAAACTTCTGTCAAAAGAGACGACTGCGTCTCCTAAAGAGTCAGAATGTGATGATTTGTAAAAACACTGAAACCACACATGTGACCGGGAATCCCACAAAGACAACATATCAAATGTTGAACCCGACATATATCATTATTATTTGAAGAACATCAACACATTTTGAGTGATATGCCAACAACAGCTTGGGACAGCAGCGACGAAAGACCAGACACTTTGTGAAATGCTCAAAGAAAACACAAAGTGGATCATCTCATAGTTCATAACTTACATCTCAAAGCATAAATAATAATAATAATAACTTTATTTAAAAACACAGGTTTACAAAGTGCTTTGACAAACAGAAAAAACAAGAACAAACTAAACCAAACACAGAAGAACATAAACAACAACAAGAACAAACTAAACCAAACACAGAAGAACATAAACAAAAACAAGAACAAACTAAACCAAACACAGAAGAACATAAACAACAACAAGAACAAACTAAACCAAACACAGAAGAACATAAACAAAAACAAGAACAAACTAAACCAAACACAGAAGAACATAAACAACAACAAGAACAAACTAAACCAAACACAGAAGAACATAAACAAAAACAAGAACAAACTAAAGCAAACACAGAAGAACATAAACAACAACAAGAACAAACTAAACCAAACACAGAAGAACATAAACAACAGCAAGAACATAACAAATGCAAAATACTAAAAATAATAAAATACAATTCAACAGAAAAGAACCCAAAGTGCACGATACCAAACAGACATATATAACCCGACCATCACAAGAACCATCATAAGAACCATCATAAGAACCATCATAAGAACCATCATAAGAACCATCATAAGAACCATCACAAGAACCATAACAAGAACATCACAAGAACCATCACAAGAACCATCACAAGAACATCACAAGAACCATCACAAGAACCATCACAAGAACCATAACAAGAACATCACAAGAACCATCACAAGAACCATCACAAGAACCATCACAAGAACATCACAAGAACCATCACAAGAACCATCATAAGAAACATCATAAGAACCATCATAAGAACCATCACAAGAACCATCACAAGAACATCACAAGAACCATCATAAGAACCATCACAAGAACCATCATAAGAACCATCATAAGAACCCAGGCAACACAAGAACCATCATAAGAACCATCATAAGAACCCAGGCAACACAAGAACCATCACAAGAACCATCACAAGAACCATCACGAGAACCATCATAAGAACCATCATAAGAACCATCATAAGAACCATCACAAGAACATCACAAGAACCATCACAAGAACCATCACAAGAACCATCACAAGAACATCACAAGAACCATCACAAGAACCATCACAAGAACATCACAAGAACCATCACAAGAACCATCATAAGAAACATCATAAGAACCATCATAAGAACCATCACAAGAACCATCACAAGAACATCACAAGAACCATCATAAGAACCATCACAAGAACCATCATAAGAACCATCATAAGAACCCAGGCAACACAAGAACCATCACAAGAACCATCATAAGAACCCAGGCAACACAAGAACCATCACAAGAACCATCACGAGAACCATCATAAGAACCATCATAAGAACCCAGGCAACACAAGAACCCAACAACACGAGCTGAGACCAAGAGGAACCAAAGATTTAAAAAGATGTAAGAAACTAAAAGAGCTAAAAGTAAATCAAAAGATAACAGCAATAAGAAGGTAAGAGCAGGAAGAGAAATAGAAACAAGTGAATAAATAATTTAAAAAATCATATTAATAAAAAGTACATATAAATAGACAAATTAAGTAAGATAAAAAATAAAAAAAGGAGTTAAGATAAGAGCATAAATAAAAGGACAGTAAGAAGTAAAAGAAGATAAGAATAGTAAAACCAGTAAGAAAAGACTTTAAGAAGACGACATCACATAAAAGCAAGTCTGTAAAAGTACGTTTTTAAGAAGGGATTTAAAAGAATTGAGGGAATAAAACACAAGTATTTCTTAAATAAACTTCATTATTATTAATACGGTGAACTGGCAACAAGTGAGTAACGTGATTGGATATAAAGAGAACATCTCAGAGAAGATGAGTCTGACTGACGTAAGGATGAGGAGAAAGACTGACCAACAATTCAAGACAAATGTTTCTCACATAACGACGTTAAAGATTCTTTTCATTCAGTCATGATAAAAACACAGAAGCAGTATTGGATGGCCGTGATCTTCATGAGAAAGTTTGATATGTTATCTTTGAGCTATTTTAAATATAATGAGGGCTTTCAGCGGCGCCGGATGGCCTAGCGGTTATGTCATGCGTCCCATGTACAGAGGCGGTACTCCTTGTACTCGGCGTCTACGGGTTCAAGTCTGACCTCGGCCCTTTGCTGCTCGTCATCCCCCGCTCTCTCTCCTCCCAACACTTCCTGACTCTCTTGAGCTTTCCCGTCTAATAAAGGCAAAATAACAAAACAACACATTTAAAAAAGGGCTTTCAATGTTTTGCAAATTACAATGTCCATTACTTTTGGGTAATGGTGTTGCCCCCCCCCCCACCCCCCCATCCAGTGTTGTGTTTGAGGTCGTGGTTTTTCCAGTGACAGGTGTGTTTGGCGTGTGTCTGTGGAAGGATGGCAGATGCACCAGGGGTCAGTTTGTTCTTCTGCAGGGGGGGTCAGAGAGAGAAAGTTAGTGTGTTAGTGTTCTTTAAAGAGAGAGAGTGAGTCTGTGGGAGAAGATGAACACGGCTTATAGAGACGGCTCAGAAACTGTGAGTAAATGTCAAAGTTCGGTTCAGTTTGAAATTCTGTTGTGTTTTATACCTTTCCTTCTCTTAGTGCTGTTCTGCTAATATCATATGAAAAAGTGTTTTAGCTTTCGATACCTCCAGGGAGTTGAATGCATTTTTACTTGTTTGTTTGGGGATGTCTAATGCGTTGCCTGTCAGCGTGTTTGTGTGAGTGGGCCTTTCACTGAAGAGGAATATGACTCTTAATTGTCTGTGACCAAAAGCTAGAAAAAAAGAAGAAGAGAGAATGACTCAGAGGCGAGAAGCTGAAACTCAAGGTACTGCATAAAGAATTCATCTGAGAAGAAGACGTTTTGCCAATGTATCGATTTCATCTCTGATTCTGAATGAAAGGAATCTCAGACAGTCAGATCCTGGTCTTCCTGTGAGTTCCCCCCCCCTTTTAAATGACCTCTGTCTTTGCACATGCTGGTGTCACGCTGAGTGTGTGTTGTGTCATTTGTTGCTATGCCTCTACTTCAGGCATGTGGATCCTCTCTGCTCTTAACTCACTCGATCTCTGTCAAAGAGAAGACAGAACACCCCCCGGTCAACAACAACGAGAGAGAGACGACACAGCTGAACGCAGCGTGTTGTTGGCTTGAAAAGAGAAAAAAAAAGCTTTTTTCTTTGTCGTGTTTGATGTGAGCAATTTGTGTTTGCTTTCAGATCAGAAATTGCTTGGCGTATGAGTTTTGTTACATGAATTCATTCTCTGCATTCTTGTGAAAACACGAGCAGCATGTTGAGATAGCAGGTTTGGATGGAGGGAGGGGAATGGGCAAGGGGGAAAGAGAGAGCGAGAGAGAGAGAGAGAGAGAGAGAGGAGATTATGTAAATGTGATGAAAAAGTGCAGGGTTTGCCGCAGTCGAGTTTCTCCCTGTGGTTCTCCCTCGGTCGCTCCTGCTTCGCCTCCTCTCCTCTCCCTTGCTCCCCCCCCCCTCCGTGCCGCATGAGTGATCCTGTTTCAGCAGCACCCTTGTCTTCATGGGAGAGGCATGAAGCCCTCAGACACAAACAAAACACAGACAAAAACACTCGACGGGGCCATGTGCCACCGGCCCGTGAGCCAGGACACACCAAACCCTCTCTCTCTCTCTCCTATCTCCATTCACCTTGTGTCTCTCTCTCTCTCTTTCATTGACACACACAAACTCAGCCGGGACAAAGAGCCAACAGTCTGCTCGCAACAGCAGACACTCCAGTAGCTGTCGGTGTAATCACACTTGCCTTATCACCTGAGAACAGAGCAGTGGATGGACTTGTGGACATGTTTTTAGGGGGTTTAATTGAGCCAGGAGGACAGTTCACATTCAGAGGAGAGAGAGTGAGTGTGTGTGAGCTCCACTTCTTCACCTGCCACACATCAGAATCAAGTCGCAGAAAATCATTTTCAAACTTGCACCGTCCAAAAATGTCACGGGGCGGAGTGACATGACATGAGAGGAAAACTGGGTCAATACCACAGAACGTTTTTAGATCCTTATAAAATCAAATATTAACCGATGTCTGTCTCCCTCTCCATTTTCCCTCTCCACTTTATGTGTCTCTCTCACTTCCTCTTTTACCCCCTTACCCCCTCCTCTCTCTCTCTTCCTCTATCTGTTCCGCTTGCAGGCAGATGCTGGCAACAGTTTTCTCCGAGCGGCCCGGTCTGGCAACCTGGACAAGGCCCTGGACCATATCAAAAATGGCATCGATATCAATACAGCCAATCAGGTGGGAGAGCTCGACAGTCCCTGGTGAATGTGGTAGCTTCCGATTGGCAAGCTCATCTAACAGCAAACGATTTACATATAATAGGCTTTAATTCACATCAGACAGGATTGCTTATTTGCAACAATGGACTCCAGTTTTACTGAGCTGTAGTGACATATTGAAGTGTTTATAAATAGGGGTGGGACAGATGTCGATACTGCAATATAACGTTGTCTAAAGTCATTTAATATGATTTTTAAGTAATAATAATTAAAAACAAATAAACTTTCAATTTGACTCACCGCTACACGACTCCACGACTCGTCACGTTGGTGCTTCTGACTGTCTGACGTGAATGAAGGTAACGTGAACGACAGCGGGATAATATCAGACAGCGGTGAAAATAAGTAAAAGGACGAAGCGTCATATGAGGCTAAAGGAGGAATGTGTGACTTTCTGATCCAGTAGACGTCGCCCTTTAGCACCAGCATTAGAACAAAACAAACTACTGTTTGGTGACACCTCCGCTCTCCTCCAGAGACACACCTCCATCTCCTCTCCACTCACATTTACACGGAGGAGTTATGGATGAGAACGCACCATAATTAAACACCATTAAGAGCAAGCAGCGGACAAAATCGTCCTTTGCTCGAGCTGCAATCACCTGTGTGCTGCATTGTTGTGTTAGCATGCTAATGTTAGCACACTTCTGTTAGCTCATAGCTTCATATTGCACATAAATTAACACAGAATGAGCGAGATCTAAACACACTTACATGACATCCAAATAATCAGTGAGTATGTTCTTCTTCTTTTCTCTAGTCCTGGACTAAAACAGCTTCATATGCAGGACCGTCCCGTCCATGTAAACATGATGTAAACATGATGTAAACACGACGCAGACAACAACACAGCCAGCAGGACTCGAGCTTCTCCCTCATTGTAGACATGACTCAGAGACACATTTACACAGGACAGACTTGATTTCTGCTTTATTTATGTGTAACATGTTGCACATTCCTCCTTTAAATGTAAACCAAATTGCAGTGAATAAATACATAAACTCATTTTAAATTCTTCAGTTTTTCAGATGTTGGGATGCATCATTATATGATTGTCTTGCAACATACCGCAGCATTGCTGTATTGTGACGTTATTGTGAGCCATGTATTACATGCAGTGTAAAAGTACAATTCCTACCCCTTCTTATAAATAACCGTGCTCCACTGAAGGACCAAATCTTGCCATCTGTCCTTACCTACTTTTTCTCCTCACTTACCTTCTCCTTCACTGATTCATTTAAAATTCAGGAGGTTGGTGTGCTACCTTCCTCTCGTTCAAATAAAAACCAGCAGAGTTTGAATTAAAAAAAACAGGAAAGTGCGATCAAGCTCGTAGCGAAAGAGAAATTATTAAACCGTTGCAACTCCCAGATTACCCCGCACTTTGAACTGAAAGTAAAAGTCTTATTACAAAATGTGATCTGATCATCAATGTGTCCAGTGTGTGCATGCCGTGCCTGACTTGATCACTGTGCTGTTTTTGTGCCTATTCTTCAGTGATGCATCAAACTGTACGTGCATGCTCAGGTAGACTGTAAATCAGCCGCTGAAGGTGACAGGTGGAGTGTAGAGGGGTCTCCTGGGAGGACGATAAATGGTGCAGGGGGGCTTCTCCTTCGCCCCGTCTCCTCCATCCTGCCTCCTTTACGCTGACGTCTGTTCCCAAAGTGTCCAGGAAGAGGCAGCATTAGTGTGCTCCGTCTGCTGCCCACGGGCTACTCAAAGTTGGGCCAAAATATTGTGACCGTTAGAGAGCGAGAGAGAACGAGAGAGAGAGAGAGAGATTCCTCCGCCTCATTAATCTAACTTAGTCATGGTTTCCCCTCTATTCATTTTTGCTGCCCTCAACATTTTGTAATTATAGCTGGTTATGCTTCTGTCAGGGTTTCTATGAGGCTCATTTCAGGGCCCATAACAAAACCCCACACAACAACACATCTATTAACGCAAAGTGACACTGTACAGAGGCCGTTTCTGGCAAACTCCTTAATGGTGACGAGGAGTCCCTCCACATGGAAACAAAAAAATAACTACCTGCAAAAAACACAGAATGTTAGCAAGAGCTTGTGATGAGATTCTTCTGAATATCATGATCTCATTAAATGTTTTTACTGTGATATTCATTATTTCTAATCGTGTTACCTTCAATGTTGGGTGTTGATTGTACTAAAGTTTTAAGTGATAATCTACAACACTCTGATTGCAGTTGATAACTTTTTCTCACACATCACTTTTTGCAATGTTTGCACATCTAGCCCTGATATGTGGCAGCATCTTTCTACTGCCACTCCTTTGTTTTTAGAAAAAGAAAATCCTCTGAAAATTGGTGCAGCGACAGTGTGTGTGCTGCTTTCAGTCAAGTAACGCTATCTGTGTCACAGCTACCACTAGATGGCGGCAAAGCACACACACACTTTGATGTTACTGCAATAAGACTGCAGCCTCTTTTATTTATCTTAAAATCTCACATTTATCATTCAGACACATTCAATGCAATGTAACAGAGAGTTGTGGATTATCACTTTGCACTTCTCTCCCTCACCACAGTGCTGAGAGAGCAGAGAGGTGTGTGACTGTGTGTACAGTCTGATGGGAGTTTGTACTGTACAGGTGCCTGCCCTCCCATTGTTGTTGTTTTTCCTCCTCCTCCTTTATCCTCCTCGATCTAACAAACTGCTCCACCTCCTCCTATACGTGTATAGTTTCCCTATACACACACACACACACACACACACACACATGCATATTATTTTTCGTCCTCTCTCCTCTGTCTGCAGTAGAGTGATGGTGTGCTGTGGTCTCCTCACTCAGAGGAATAATATCAGTGGTGTGGGAAAGGTCCAACCTCACATGTCCTGTGCGGCTGAAGGAAGGCTGTGTGAGGTCAGACCTATCCCACACGGCTCGTATTCTTCCCAGCCACGAGACCAGCGGCCTGCCATCCCCCTCCCGTCCCCCTCCTCCTCCTCCTCCTCCTCCTCCTCCTCCTTCCTCCCTCACCATCATTAATCACATGAAATGTTTTTCACCCTGATTTTCATTCCTGTAGACATTGTTTTTTGCTAATGACCGCTCTTGAGAGTTCTGCATGTGTGGTGTGTCCAGTGTAAGTATTTGCCGGCTTTGCTTCCTGAGTCTCACTGTGAAGAAAAACGATGCAGTTTGCATGCCCGATGTGTGTTTGTGTATCCATGTGAGGTTACGATAAAGTATTCACAGTGTGTTCATAGAGTGTTGAGGACCCTTCAGTATGAGGTCTGCTCTGCTCTCTCACTCAGAACGGGCTGAACGGGCTGCATCTGGCCTCCAAAGAAGGCCACGTTAAAATGGTGCTGGAGCTACTCCACAATGGCATCGTACTGGAGACCACCACGAAGGTAAAACTCTTAATGTTACCCTTCAAACAATCACCCTTAAATACCCCACATCTATTCCAATAAACAAGTAGTGTTTTAAGCACTCTTATTGGCTTCCTTACCGAGTGTGCAATAAGGAAGTCTCACCTCTTTTCTCTAGCCCAGATGAAACAAATGAATGTTCAAATGTGTCGAGAGGTTGGGGCGCCGGATGGCCAAGCGATGATAATGCACACCCCATGTGCCGAGGCCAAAGTCCTTATCGCAGCAGCCGTGGGTTCAAATCTGACCTCGACTCTGTCTATTCTAGTGAAGGCAAAAAGGCCCAAAAGATAACTTAAAAATGATTAAATAATGTAATAAAATGAAATGCATTGAGAGGTAACTTTTAGAGGTGCTAGTCGCTGGAGTTTGTTACCTGGTCAACTAAACTTATACTGCAGCTACATATTTTCTTTTTGGCCTTTTTTGCCTTTATCTGTTAGAAAAGATGAAGCGATACAGAAAACATGAGGAAACGAGAGTGGGGATGACTTTCTTTAAAAGGTTACACCTGTGTGTCTAAGATTTCGAGTTTGTATTTGTGCTGACTTTTCTTCTGACTGAGCTAAATCTACAAAATCCATTGTGGCTCAGTTTTTAGTTACAGATAGGATACAGATAGAAGTATCAGTCTTCTTATCTAACTCTCAGCAAGAAAAAGTCCAACTCTAAATTGGACTTTAAATACATTTTTGGACTCTTGTTTTTATCTCTTGTTTCTTGAGAAAGACAGATTCTATTTAACATCGGACGAACCAGACGCATTGTTTGAGTGTTTTAGCACACATGCTAATTCTCAACACTTGTCCAGAGAAGGCTTTTTCAGAGAAAAGTAATTATAATGAGATCAATAAGAGAAATAAATATTGAGGAGACAACGAGAGAGATCAAATGTAGACTAATAATACACAGACAGAGGGAGAGCTCCACGAGCAGAAACGTGCTCAAACTAGGATCAATATTGGAGATGCTTTTTGAAAAATGGAGAGAGGTTAGAACACAGAAAGGTTTACAGACCGATGCAGAGCTGGATAAACTCTGAAGCTTCAGAGTCTGCGACATGGCAACTCACATGCACATGGAGTCTAGAGAGGAGGGGGCGGGGGGAGACAGCTCTCTGCAATGTTTAAATTTTGGACTGCAGTACCCATTTTAAACACTAGGTGTCATAGTAACATATTGCTCCTTTAAAAGCATTACTATTGGTCTCTAGTTTTAGATTGGTAGGTGGAGAGGTAGGTTTAAAGTATCTTCCATATTTGTAACAGTTGTCAATCATATCCCTCACACTAACTCTTCATGTAAATACAATAATGTCACATATCTGCAGACATATGAAACCTAACATGTATAAAATAAATACTTTATGTTTCCTACAGTCTTTGTGTCTTTGTGTCCATTATCAACATTGTTCGTTGTTCTTATATGACTAATGTTCTTTGTCTGTGTGTCACATCAGAAAGGGAACACGGCCCTGCACATTGCAGCCCTGGCGGGGCAGGAGCAGGTGGTCACAGAGCTGGTTAACTACGGGGCCAATGTAAACGCTCAGTCTCAGGTGAGACTGATGGTGATCACTGGAAACGCTTTGTTGACCTTTACTGTGAAACCATTGTACAGTAGCAGCTATTGCAATTCCATCTGTTAACATTATGTGTATTTGTTCCTATATTTCTGTGTGCTGGTGTTTCCTCTTCGTGTACATCCTGTGAACGTCTTCCTATCTTTCTGTTGTTGTGCTTGTGTCTCCTCGTCTGCTGTGTGTGTGTGTATGTGTGTATGTGTGTGTCTGCCGGACGTCTTTCTGAGACAGAAGGGTTTCACTCCACTCTACATGGCTGCACAAGAAAACCATCTAGAGGTTGTGAAGTTTCTTCTGGAGAACGGAGCCAATCAAAGCATTCCAACTGAGGTACTGAAGGACTGAGAGAAGCTCCTCAATCCCCTCCCTGCTGATCCACACTCTGTGTTTACGTTCTGTTTCGCTCTCATAAGCCTTCCTCCTCTCTCTCCTCATTTTCTCTCCGTGAGTCATCAGACAGTTTTTCTAACCCTCTCCTGTGTGTTTCAGGACGGATTCACTCCTCTCGCGGTGGCTCTTCAGCAGGGACACGAGAACGTCGTAGCCTTGCTCATCAACTATGGCACCAAAGGGAAGGTCCGCCTCCCCGCGCTGCACATCGCTGCACGCAACGACGACACACGCACAGCCGCGGTGCTTCTGCAGAATGACCCCAATCCTGACGTACTCAGCAAGGTATGCATGAGTTTGTGATTGGCTGCAGGTGTGTCTCTGTTTGGTGTCTTTGAAACATGCAAAGGTGATGAGAGTGACAAGTTTTCCCCCTCGTGTCCCTGCAGACTGGATTCACACCCCTCCATATTGCTGCACACTATGAAAACTTGAACGTAGCTCAGCTGCTGCTCAATAGAGGAGCCAATGTCAACTTCACCCCAAAGGTAGGGGCTTCATTAGCGCTGCTGAAGGTTAATCGTTGTCATAGCTGAGTGTGTGCCTGTCCAACATGCATCTGTGTGTCTCTGCAGAACGGTATCACTCCTCTGCACATTGCAGCCAGACGGGGTAATGTGATCATGGTCCGACTTCTGCTGGACAGAGGGGCTCAGATAGACGCCAAGACCAAAGGTGCGGCAGATATCTATCCTATTGTTTCTCTGTTTCTAATTTGATGCATCATTAGCTAAATCAGTAACCGTCCCCTCTTTCCCAGGACGAGCTGACTCCTCTGCACTGTGCGGCCAGAAACGGCCATGTCAGGATTATAGAGATCCTGCTGGACCACGGGGCCCCCATCCAGGCCAAAACCAAGGTGATCCAGCTAAGATCAAGCAAAGAAAATACCTCTTAAAACTGAAAAACTTTATTAAAGAATTACTTTTTTTTAGTAATGAGTATAAATCAGTGACTTTTATCAAGTACATAATCATAAGAATTATTAGTTAAAAACAGCAATGAATTCCACTCCTGCTGCTTCCTCTTGTCTTGTGCTGTTTGTTTACTTCTAAACATTTGTCTTCCTGTTTAGCAAAGGGATGAGAGAATAACCACGTCTCCTCCTGTTTCTTTTTCCATTTTGCAGAATGGCCTGTCTCCAATCCACATGTCAGCACAGGGCGACCACATGGACTGCGTCAAGCAGCTTCTGCAGTACAACGCGGAGATTGATGATATCACAATGGACCATCTTACCCCTCTGCATGTGGCAGCGCACTGCGGCCACCACCGCATGGCCAAAGTTCTGTTGGACAAAGGGGGCAAACCCAACTCTCGGGCACTGGTCAGTCTCAATCACAGACACAGTCAGTTAATGTCCGGGCAGAGTTACAATCTTTGTAGCACTGAAAACCTTTTCCTTTGTTTTCACAGAATGGTTTTACTCCTCTGCACATCGCTTGTAAAAAGAACCACATGCGTGTGATGGATCTGCTGCTTAAACACTCTGCATCTATAGAGGCTGTGACTGAGGTGAGGAGTCAGAAAAGAAAGGGTTCATAGTTAATCTGGATGTGAATATTATTCAAACTTTTACGATCCTTCTCTTCTGAACAGTCGGGCCTGACTCCCTTACATGTGGCTTCATTCATGGGGCATCTCAACATTGTGAAGATCCTGCTGCAGAAAGGAGCTTCTCCTAGCGCCTCCAATGTGGTGAGTTTCTTTCTGAAATCACCTCTTAGTCTCTGTAGTAATAATGTTTGTTGGTGTAATACTGTTCAGTCTGAGTGTGGGATTTGTCTTCCTGTGCACGAGTAGAAAGTGGAGACTCCTCTCCATATGGCGTCTCGGGCAGGACACCTTGAAGTGGCAGAGTTCTTACTGCAGAACGCATCACCTGTAGACGCGAAGGCAAAGGTAAAGATTGTACTCTTGCGTAACCATTCCTCACGTTAGATAATGATTAATATACTCAGTCATTTCGTGGTTCATACATAACACCCCAAACGGTTACAATCGCATGTGAGCAGCAGATGAAAACTTATCCTCATGGTGTGAAATAAACTTACTGACATTAAACTCTTGTGCAGAGTCACAGTGAGAAGCAGGGCAGTGTTAGAGTAGTGCATGTGGTCGCCATGGAGATCTGCTGTGCAAATGTTAGTCCAGGCTTTTTAGAATATTGTTACTCAAGTTTTGTGCAAACTTTTACTCTGAAATCAGTTTAGTGTTGACATATTAAACCAATACGTGTGTGGAAATGCAGCTTTTTTATTAGAGAATGTTATCTTCTTTAAGCACTTCCTAAATAATAAAGGAGTTCAGGTTTATCCAGGCGCAGATACAAACAGTAAGAGTGGTAAAAGGTGGCACACCCCCCTTGAAAACTGACTGGCCATAGACAATATTTGGCAATTTTCCTCATCAAAGGCTACACTCACTTAATATCAGGATGGGATATTATTGTAAAAATGCATTGTGATATATAGTGCAGTTAAAATACACAGTTACAGTCAAGGTTAGCTAATGAGTTGAAAAGTCATATTTAAAACATTTCCTCTTTTTTTTGTGGCCATCTGAAAATCGTTCAGACCCGTGACATAAATCCATGAAACTCCTGAGCCGTGATATTTATGATTCTAGTATACAACAGCCTCGTGTTGCTTTTTCATATGCAAACCTGAGATGATAGTGGAGAAGCTGAGAAGTTAAATTTGAGAATTTAGTCACAAAAAAACGTGTTCAATTATTAACTATCCCCTAACCCCCCCCGGACAGGATGATCAAACCCCTCTGCATTGTGCTGCTCGTATGGGCCACAAGGAGCTGGTGAAGCTGCTGCTGGAGCAGAAAGCCAACCCTAACTCCACCACCACAGCAGGCCACTCGCCCCTACACATCGCCTCCCGGGAAGGTCATGTTCAAACTGTACGCATCCTCCTGGACATGGAGGCCCAGCAGACCAAGATGACCAAGGTACAGTCTGCCTCCTTAACCTTAACTTAACTTATTTAACGCTTGCCTGTATCGTTCCCCAACCTAATGTTGTATACACCTTTCCTGTGCGCCTCTGTAGAAAGGCTTTACTCCGCTCCATGTGGCCTCAAAGTACGGCAAGGTGGACGTAGCAGAGCTGTTGTTGGAGAGAGGAGCTAACCCTAATGCTTCTGGGAAGGTAAGAAAAACACAAAATGTCTGACTCTGAAGTTTAATCTGATCTACAACAGTCTAACTTTTTACATTTGTTGTTTCAGAATGGTTTGACTCCGCTGCATGTTGCCGTGCATCACAACAACCTGGATGTTGTTAACTTGCTTGTTAGCAAAGGAGGGTCCCCACATAGTGCAGCCAGGGTAAGCAACAATACAAATAAATAAACACAAAAGTCTAAATTAATTCTAGCAGGCTGACATAAGCACATAAACATGATTTTACAAACCATTACCTTCGCTTGTGTTTCAGAATGGCTACACTGCCCTCCACATAGCATCCAAGCAGAACCAGGTGGAGGTGGCTAACAGCCTGCTGCAGTATGGAGCTTCAGCCAATGCTGAGTCACTGCAGGGGGTCACTCCTCTCCACCTGGCCTCGCAGGAAGGAAGGCCCGACATGGTCTCCCTCCTCATCGCCAAACAGGCCAACGTCAACCTTGGAAACAAGGTAAGAAACACGCTAATGATTAATCAATGAATGGTCGAGATTGGAGGGATTTTTATGTCCCTAATGAAGAAAATGTAAGACTCTGTTTTTGTTTTTCTGCTTCTTATGTCTTCTGATGAATGTTTTCTCTCCAGAGCGGATTAACCCCACTGCATCTGGTCGCTCAGGAGGGTCATGTTGGCATTGCAGATATCTTGGTGAAGCAAGGGCTTCAGTATACGCAGCCACGAGGGTAAGACCTCTTCAGCCTAATGTCAAATTAATAAAGTTAAAGTTTTCTCAACCCATGTAAAAATATCTTAAAGGTCACATATTCTCCTCCTTTTCAACCAGTTTAAATAAGTCTCAGAGCTCCTCAAAACATGTGTGTGAAGTTTCTTGTTCTAAATCTACCCTGATCCTGTATTTGATCATGTCTATAAACTATAACCTCTATTTCAGCCCTGTTCAGAACAGGCTGTTTCTGTGTCTGTACCTTTAAATATGTAAATGAGCTGTGTCTGACCACGCCCCTCTCTGAAAGGGCTTGGGTGTCTCGGTCTTTCTTGCTCCATGTCCCATTGTTTACGGTGAGAAGGCAGACTCAGAGGGCAGAACAAACACCTAGCTGTGGGAGTGTCACCCACCTGGGGGAGGGGCTACTGCCCTTTGTGATCTCATGAAGGGAAGATCTCCAAACGGCCTGTTTGAGCACACATTTTCTGAAAAGAGGAGCAGGCTAAAGACGGAGAGGATGGACTTCTCTCATAATTAGGGATTTGTCTGCAGACTAGGGACACATTTTAGTGTTAGAAAACATGGTGAAGTGTATTTTGCACAACATGTGACCTTTAAGAGAGTGTAGGAAGTACTTGTGACAAGAGTCCCAACAAATAGTGTCTAAGTACAGTAGCATAAATAGCCTGATGATCTCATAGCAGAGGGTTATGTTACCATCAAAGACATGGCTGAGCCTTTAGGGATAAAGATTCCTGAGACATCTACTGCTTGGACCGGCTGTAGAGCAGCTACCGAGCTGGAGTAGCACCAGATTATTATGGATTATAGAAGTTAAGGTTAAATTCATGCGGTCAATACGACAGCATACCTAAAGGTCAATATAGAGCTGAATTAGCCCTCTGTGATTATGGTTGGAGCTTTAACATTGTAGGATTAGTTGGAGATCTTTTTGTACTTATATTTGTTATTTTAGAAATGAAAAGATAACGCTTGTTTTTTATAAACAGAGGCCTACATGTTTTTTTTATAAACTAGTTTGTTCATGAACCATTCAACTCCAAAGAGGACCAAATCCAAATTCTAATGTTCTCAGATCAATTGTGCCGCTGCTGTGATTTTTATTTTTTTTAACTTTCCCTCTCTCACCATCAGATGGGTTACACCCCCCTCCATGTAGCGTGTCACTATGGCAACATTAAGATGGTGAAGTTCCTCCTGCAGCAACAGGCCAACGTCAACAGCAAAACAAGGGTGAGTGCCTCCCTCTGGTTTGAGATCAAATTACAACAGAATCATTCAAAGTGTGAGTCATGCAGTAACAGTGCGTCTGCTGCCACTGACTCATTCAGCAGGAAGTATCATTACAGCACATTACACCTTAAAACAAGAGTTGGATCTATTTAAGGGTTCTCCGGCTGTAGGATGTTAAAAACAGGCCTCTTTATATAATGATTGGTGGAATCAGGACATTTCTCCTCTCATAGGTGTAACAACTGCTTAGCAAGAAAAAATTTCAATTTGAGTATTTCCTCTCGAGAAGGGAAATAACTCTCTTTAAAGAGACAGTAACACTTTAAATTAAAGTCACAATATTCACCTTTAACTAGGTGTCAACTCACTCAATCACTCTGCTGCTAGATTCATAACCAGAACTCCCGTCATTGTGTTCTGTATAACGGAGTGGGGGGATGAACTCTTTTATATTTATATCTATAAATCTCTTGAAGGATGTCCCACTTGTTCCCTCTGGACTCTGAAAATCTTGACTCTTTATTGCTCCAAACATCTCTGTACAACACTCTTTTCAAGATCGACACTCTCATCTTTCTTGGACAAATCAAAGTTATTATCTCAAAATAAATCACCTCACCTAACTGCTTGAGTCTGTACACCGTCACCGCCACGGTTTTGCTCCATCTGAATATATATGTATATTTTTGTTATATTTTGAAATTGACCGGGGCATTGACTATAGTTGAGCGAACGGCGCTGATAGACCGCTGCGTGCACAGACTATTTGGAAATTGGGAGTAACGACATCATTGTAATTAAGAGAAACCTGATTTATAAGGCTTTAATAAAGGATGATGATGATGATGAACACTTCAATAAAAGGACTCTTCTTGTCTCTTTCAGCTCGGCTACACTCCTCTGCACCAGGCGGCCCAGCAGGGACACACTGACATCGTGACACTGCTGCTGAAGCACGGCGCTCAGCCCAACGAGACGACAACTGTGAGCATGAACAAAAACTTTTCCTCCTCAAAAGCCCTTTTCACACATGCACTCCTGAACATTTACAGAATGTTTCAGCGCAGCCTGCCCCTGGAATCTTCCTGAGATTTTCCCTGTCAGATGGAGGGAAGGTCTCAGGAAGATGGAAATGTTGATAAAAAAGACGCTGCATTCACATACCGGCTGACCCCAGCAGACTTTTTACAAGGAGGCTGGCGGGAAAAGGCCTGGATAATGTCAGGGTGGGGAGAGAATTTGTGTTCACACAGTCCACCACCCTGAAAGTTTGAGGAAACTTTTAGGAGTTTTGTGCATGTGTGAAAAAGACTAAAGTAACTCGTACTATGTTGCCATCAGAGATCTTATTGATTCGATCCTCTCTTTCTGACAGAATGGTACTTCAGCCTTGGCCATCGCTAAGAGGTTGGGCTACATCTCTGTGATCGACGTCCTAAAGCTCGTCACTGAGGAGACGGTGTCCATGGTGAGAAGTTTTTTAAACACTACTTAACCCTCCAAACGAGCACTTGAAAACACTATTTACTCTCAGATTTCTTGCCTTTACTAATCCGTCTTTAACTGGTTCTTCCCCGTGTTCCTGCAGACGACCACAGAGAAACATCGCATGAGTTTTCCAGAAACAGTGGATGAGATCTTGGACGTGTCTGAGGATGAAGGTAGAGACACCTCATGTGGAATAAATCACATGAACTTGCAGGAAACAACACTTAATTGACTCAGTTGTAATCTAAATATATATTTTTTACCAGGTTGACTTTATGCTGTTTGAGCTGGTCATATAGTTAATATTCATTTACTCCAATACTATTTTTTGCTTTTTGCCCTTTTTTTAGGGATTGCACAGCTAACATTAGGTATGAATGTCTCTTTCTTTCTTTGTGCGGCATTCATAGGTCGGTGTTATATATTGTCTGGCTCCATTTCAAGCTCACCCTCTCAGTCTTTATCTCTCGCTCCTGCTCCCTCTGTGGTGGCGCTCACTGTGATGGTGGCTCTGGTCTCTCATTGGCATGCACCCATAGCACCCATATCTGTGACCTTCAAATGTCCCTTCAGTAACACTCTCTCTTTTCTCCTCCATGTGACGACAGCAGTCCTTATGGTGACACTTACAGCTCACCCATCATTACTAATAGCACATCAGATTTAAATCTTTTTATAAAATCATTTAAAAAGCAGCTCCGTGAGCTTAACTAGTTCAACGTGGAGAAGTGCTGTCTTTTCAGATCATCGCTTTTAAAACGTGTGTCCACAGTTGTCTGCATTTCAATGTCCTTCCATATATGTCAGTCATGTAACACATCATTTGTAGCCGTCTTGTGTTCCATTTGAGGTGATTTAGTGGCTGAGAGGTCGGTTGCTAACAAGTCTAAAGCCTGGCTCACGCTGTGCGATTTCCCCCCGATTGTATAAAAGTCGGGGTGGCATGTCAGCTCACACTGAATCGTTTACGACGCCCGACCAGACCATGAGATCGACGTGCTCACACCGTACGACACGATTGTCAGGCACGGCCGGAGAGCTCACACTGTACGAGTGAAATCGAGACAGAGTGTTGACGATTGTTAATAAAGTTTCATTTGAAAAAAAACAAAGGACGACGGTCGGTGAAAGAGAAGGAAGTGGAAGTTGTTGTAGGATATAGAAAAGTTGATACAATTGTAGATATATGGAGACAAGTTTCAGAAAAGTGCTGCACTGATGATCTGTACAGCTGCCGCTGGTCGCCATGACTACATGATTTTAAGATTGGATCTTTGTACCGCTCACACTACAAGAGACTCTGAACAGATAATCGGGTCCGAGCAGCCTCGAGTCGGGAGCGACCCTGAGATTGTCAGGAAGGAAGAATCGGAGCTCAAATCGGCCCGATTATCCTGCAGTGTGAGCCAGACTTCAGAGAATGATGGTTTGAAGTTGATGTTAAAGTGGCTGAAATCCAAACGTTTGCATGAACATCGGTTCACTTGACTGCTTGTATCAGAGAGGACTGACTCGTAGTGAAGAGCCCACAGAGTTATCACCCAGCTCTGCATTAACCTCCGACTCTATACAGAGAGTTAACTCAGCTAATGTTTCTGGACTTTTTGTGGGCTCAGTCTCACCACACTCTTTGCTTTTTAGTCGTAAATGTCAATGGTTTACAGCATAAAGACTCACAGAAGCAAACAGTAAACGGATAAAGCTATTAACAAGCTGTTGCGCTTAGTGTGGCATTGAGCAGCTAAAGAGCCAAAGATTCCCTCAGGAGGGAGTGGACACAGAAAATCGGAGTTTAAAGGAAAGTGAATATTGACTTAAACGCACAGTTTGTAATTTCCACCACCAGACGTCGAAGCTGGCGGGGAATCATGGGAGTGCTACATCACCCTCACTACAGATGAAAAACAAACTCGAATTGACCGAACGAGCGATAATTTACATAACGTTTTTATCACAGCAGCACATACATCTCAGTATATTCTGATCTGTGTTTTTAAATGGACTACCGCTGCTCTCTCGTGGCAGCTTTGGGTTAAGATTTGACTGAAGATCTGTTAAGTTTTTTTTAAAGCTTTTGTGCCACCTTTCATTAAAATAATGAGACTTGTTTTGTTTTAAAACACACCGTATTGAAACAGTATCATAGTATCAGATATTCTGACAACCTTGCAAGCGAACGGTTTGCTAACAAGTGATCCCAGCTTGTTTTTGCTGCCCCCTAGTGGCTGAAAGAGAAGAATCTCTCTTTGCATGTTGACTAACTTCTAAAGCCTGAACTTAACTTCACTAACAGTGATGCTCCAGGACTTTATGTCTTGATATTTTTAGCCTCCTGATAATTCAACTGACAGATTGTCACCGTTGTTCTAAATATAGAGAGTTGCTGAGTCGCACTCTTAAAGACACATCTCGTATCCGGAACGGTCAAAATGATACTGTCAGGTTATTTCATGCACACACTCACACACACACACACACACACACACACACGACGCAGTACACAACACACAGAGATCATATAAGACATGGGCTGAGCCTCGTGTGAACCTTTGGGAAGTGTGTGCACGCAGTCAAACATGGTGTAATGACACCCACCACATCACACCGGCTCTGGACCGCATACAGACGCCCACTCTCACAAGCTGTGCTGATACACTCACAGTTTAATACACACAGGGAACGCTGCTCTTTTTTCCTGGTGGATTTCTAGAAAAACTACTGCATGTTTTTGGGGGGTAAGTAAACAAATCCCACCCTCTGCTCGTATCGGGATGTACCGTTTTTATGCACAGTAGAGTGCAGCTCGTCCTTGTGTCAGTGAGTGCGTGTTTCAGTGAGCTGATGCTGTTCTGTGTTCCTGTTCATGTATCGCTCTGTGAGGCGGTTAGTATCCAAATGTATTCCTCATTAGAGAACACATTTTTGGGATGAGAATACGCTGCTCTGTGCACAACATAATGCCTCTAATTAAATCGGCTTCTCCAACTCCAGACTAGAGTTATAAATAGGGATGTAACGATGCATCACAGTACATGAAAAAACAAAACAAATATGGACAATTTAAAGCGATTTGACAAAAATATATATTGCACTGCCTTTTTTTAACCAGCGGAGGGCGCTATCTGCCTGTAGCTTCTCTTGTTGGACGTCCGTATCTAAAGATGAGACGTGCACAGACATGACAAAAGTGACTTTTTTGAGGTTTAGATTGAGTCTTCTTTCAAAGTAGGAACTATTGAAATTAAGCGATTAATCAACATTAAAAGTTTATTTAAAAGACAAGATTTTAAAATCCTTCTGCGATTTTAAACACTGCACTAAATGTCTCGTTTAGTCTTGCGCACTTATTTTGTGTTTATTGCTGATCTTTAATGTTAAACTTTTTGTACATAGACAGTTCAACAATACATACCTGACCAATAAAGCTGACTCTGATTCTGATGTTTAGTGATCCTGAACCAAGTGTTTGATGCAGTGATGCGTTTCTTTACATGTTTTTCTGAAGTTGTGTAGAAGTGAGTGGGTATACTAATGAGCAGCAGGGATGTCCATGTCACTAATGTCTCATCTCATCAGTCTAACCCCCTTGACCCCAGAGCCATCTCCTTAATCCTGCTCGACCACGTGGCACCCGAACCCCTCTGGTTAACGACCTCGTTCTTTTTTTCTTTCTCTCTCTTTTCTCTTCTTGTGCTGTTTCACCAACCAACTGACCACCGTCTGTTCGCTCTCTTTGGCATGTTGTTCTCTGAAGGAGAGGAGCTCTTGGGGACCGAAGGGGCCAGGTACATGAAGATGGATGACATGAAAGACCATGATGACGATTTCCTCTCCCCCAAGAAATCACTGGAGTACGAGAGAGGGCTGGGCACAGCGTAAGGGGGGCTGGGTGGGGAAGCAGGCGAGAAAAAGCCGAGCTGGTAGTCACACACTCATACTGTAGGTTGGATGGGTAGATGGGGATGCACCATAGACACTCACTACACACCAGGGATGAGCACTTGGGAGGAGATGTAAGGAGAAATTCTTCGATCTGACTTGTTTCTTGTTCTTTAAAACAATAGGAATTACTCGCCAGCCATTCCAAGGATCCCCCGAGTTTCTCCCGAGACCGTCATCCTGAAGGAACACGAGATGGATCAGGTACTTCACTGCACCACATCAAACTTTGCATCTTCTTATAGCTGGACTGCTCATACAGTGCTGATATGATATTGTCATGCGTGTTTGCACATAACCAAGTCTATATCATGTTTTTTAATTGTTTAAACATTAATGTTGCAGCTTGATGTAAAGAACCAGAGTTAAGTTAAAGCTAGCCTGTAACACACACATTCACACCAGCAGCAAGAATATCTGAGTCAAATGAAGAGCAGTGTTATAACTCACTGGTTACAGACTTTATCCTCTTTGAACAGGTTTTTTTTAGGTTTATTTTAAATGCTAAATTCCACCAGATACAATCTTTCTCTGTGATTCAAATAAACGGTTTGTCTTTTTGTCTGTTGCAGCAACACACTCCTCTTCCACTGCCCAAAGAGTATGACGATGACTCGCTGATTCCCAGCAGCCCTGCGACTGAGACCTCAGACAACGTCAGCCCAGTCGCCAGTCCCATACACACGGGGTCAGCAAATCGAAATTCAGTAAATCTTTGCTTTATCTGCGATCTGGCACCCCAACCTCACAGTGTTGGTCCTTTAACAGGTTCCTGGTCAGTTTCATGGTAGATGCTCGTGGCGGCTCAATGCGAGGCAGCAGGCATAACGGTCTGCGTGTCATCATACCTCCACGGACCTGTGCGGCACCCACCCGCATCACCTGCCGCCTGGTGAAGCCGCAGAAGCTGACCAGCCCCCCTCCGCTAGTGGAGGGAGAGGGGCTGGCCAGCAGGATCATCTCCCTGGGTCCAGCAGGAATGCAGTTTCTGGGGTGAGGAAGAAACCGTCAATACAATCATCAGGATTATTTTATTTTTTTCCAAAATGATTGAAAACTGTGATAGAATATCCAAAGTCTTGAAAGTGGGGGTTGTGAGCTATTAGACATTTTTAGACATACTTACATATGTTGTAATAATACTGAACCTGGACAAAGATGAAAAGAAGGAGGTAAACATGTCTGAGTAATCCCTCAGTCTTCAGGGCTCAGTCTGAAAGGCTTCTCTTAACACCAGCTTTCTCTACGTTTGGAGATTTTAAGTATCTCCTCTGAAAATAACTCTGAGTCATGACTGTCTACAATGGGTGTAACACCTGAGTCCCACTGTCTGTGACACCTGTGTTACATAAATAAAGTTGTTTTTTTTCAGCTGTAAAAAACTGAAAAGCGACTCCAGAGCTTACACAGAGTGAAAACCTAAAACTTGGAATGTGCATAACATGGCTACTTCAATGTTTTTAATTTTACATTTCCTGATTTTTTTTTTATCTTTTAAAGTTATTTTTGGGCCTTTTGCCTTTATTAGATAAGACAGCTGGAGAGAGACAGGAAGTGTTGGGAGGAGAGAGTTGGGGAGGAAATGCAGCAAAGGACATCAGTCAGATTCAACCCAAAGGCCGCTACATTGAGGACTATAGCCTCTATACATGAGGCACGCAACATAACCGCTAGGCTATCGGTGCCCCAGATAACATACTTTATCATCATTGTATGCATTGGACTAAATTTTGTTGGTGACATTCAGCCCATCAGCAACAGACAAGATAAAAAGATTAGATAAAAAATATAACAAACAGCAAATGAAAGACAGAGGGATAAAATAGAAGAGTAAACAACACACATTCTATACAAAGAAAAAAATAAAATATTGCATATTGAACATGAGTAACGTGTGTGTGCAATGTGTGTTTTGTGTGGCAGGCCGGTTATCGTGGAGATCCCTCACTTTGCCGCTCTCGGTCGAGGTGACCGGGAGCTTGTGGTGCTGAGGAGCGAGAACGGCTCAGTCTGGAAAGAACATCGCAATCGCTACGGCGACGAGGTGCTAGAAACAATCCTCAACGGGATGGATGAGGGTGAGGACTGAAATGCTTTCGTCTCAGACGGATGGTCCGACATGTCTCTGTTTTCTTTTTGTTTTCACCTCACGACCTTCTTCTCTCGCCTCCTCAGAGTTGGAAAGTCAAGAGGAGCTCGGGAAGAAGAGAATCCGTCGCATCATCTCCACCGACTTCCCCCTTTACTTTGCCGTCGTGTCACGAGTCCAGCAGGAGAGCGACCTGATTGGACCAGAGGGCGGCTCGCTGACAAGTAAACTGGTGCCGTTGGTCCAGGCCACGTTTCCCGAGACGGCAGTCACCAAACGAGTCCGCCTGGGGCTGCAGGTGAGATGGGACGATGATGAGAAGGAAGGAGAAGAAAGACAGAATCGTTAATGCCTGTGCATGATGGATGTATTTGATCATGGACACCCGATCATATCAGCACTTGTACCAGTTTTTCCACGTTTAGTTTTCTGCTGCTTGTTTAGTTTGCTTGATATTCTTAAAGGACCTTTTTTGCATTTCAGACAGTGCATGCACTTTGCATCTTCAATATGGCTGGACTGCTTATGCAGTGCTGATATGATATTGTCATGGGGGATTTCTTTCTTGTTTTGCCGACCTGTATTATGTTTTTTTTTTTTAAATCAAGTAACTAGAGTACTGACGATAGCAAACACAACTTAAAAATAAATATTGTGCATTCTTACGCTTGAGAGGAAACACTGTTTGGATGATAAACACACATATTCCCTAACTGTTTGGATATCATGATGCTCTGAATAAATGCTTTGAAGCTCCTGTGAGGAGTTTGTATCTGGTTATGAAACAGGCCGAAATGAATAGTGATGCAAACAAGAGCATCAGGAAGACGACTGACATTTAAATAAAGTTATTTTGAATGGCCTTAAATGCCGCTGGGGGTTTAAACTGATTAACAGCCACGGCAGAAATCAACTTTTCTTTACATTTTCCACTGCAAAGATCCACAGTGAGAATACTGACTATTAAAAGACTTCAGAAGAAGGAGGTTTTTCATCACACACTATTAAACTTACAGGACAAAATCAGGAGCAAATAGAGGAGTTTAAAGGCTGGATCAAATACAGGATCAGAGTGGGTTTAGAACAAGAAACTTCACATGTTTTGGGGAGCTTTGAGACTAATTTAAATTTGATGAAAAGGAGGAGAATATGTCACCTTTAAGCAATAAACATACTGTACAATCTCTGTGGACTTCAGTCCTGGTGTTCCAGGTGACAGGGTTTCTTTAAAAAAAGATGTTAAATGTTATCTTTTCTTTTGTCATTGTTCTTTGTAGTGGGTATCTTTTGTTATAAATGCATGTTTTGGCATGTTTGAGAGGCTACATTTACCCTTTGTGCACGTTTGGTTTTGTTTGTCTTTGTTTTTTGTTTTTTTTACCCTGTAGATTTTACTCATTGATTATGATTTGAAGCATCTAATGAGTTTTAGGCATCTTGTGGAGACTTAAAAACTCCTGCCAGAGTAAACCAAACCGGACCTTCTGCTTCTTTTTTAAAGAGATGTTTAGAGTAATGAATCGATGAGTAAACTAACATGCAGTAACATTTTAGCAGAGAGAAGTTGAATGTAACTAATTAAGAGTCAAATAGACATTATTTTATACTTCATACAAATCTATTTTATAACCTCCAATGTGCTTTAGTCGTGGCGTAAGCCACGGTGCCTTTTTGAAACACTTCTGTACTAATGATTGTAAACGCTTCCTGTTAACACACATTGTTATATTTTACAATAAAGAGAGTTACTAAGTCCTACAGCCTCCTGGTGTTAAGGTACTTTATTCATCGTGTACTCTTTCTCTCTCTTCATCTTTCATTTGTCCCTCTTCGTTTGCCGTCTGGTACCATCATCCACCTCCCATCATCTATTCCTACCTGCCATCCCAACATCGTTATCTAATCTCCCCTGCTCATTTGTTTCCCTCTTTTATCTAATTTCCCTTTTTTCTACCACATCATGAAACCTGTGCTTGTGTTACCGCCCCTCCCACCCTCCTCCATCATTTACTTGAATCTTCAGGCTCAGCCAGTTCCAGATGAGCTGGTTGCTAAGCTGCTGGGTAACCAGGCTAACTTTAGCCCCGTGGTCACCGTGGAGCCTCGACGGCGCAAGTTCCACCGGCCCATCGGGCTGCGTATACCTCCCCCGTCCTGGAAGGAGAGTCCCCGAGACTCTGGAGAGGGTGACACCACCAGTCTGCGCCTGCTCTGCTCTGTCATAGGTAGGAGGGTGTGTGTGTGTGTGTGTGTGTGTGTGTGTGTATGTGTGTGTGTGTGTGTGTGTGTGTGTGTGTGTGTGTGTGTGTGTGTGTGTTCAGGAGAGCTCAGTTGTATACTTTCTATGATGAGGAAGGATTGACATTAAAAGATGTTCTTGCACACTGTCAACTTGAGGTGAGCTCTATCAGAGCTTTGCTGACGCAGTCTCATCTGTTTCCCAGGAGGCACTGCTCCGGCCCAATGGGAAGACATCACCGGCACCACCAAGCTCGCCTATGCCAACGACTGTGCCAGCTTCACAACCAATGTCTCGGCACGGTAAGTTAGGGTTGGCAACACAGAATGTTCATGTGAGTAAATTCAAGAAGATGGAAACCAGTTGAAGACATCTAGAAATACACAAACTGTATGTATAGAGAACAGAACAAGAAATAGAACGAAAATACTGAAGAAAAAAGGCCCACCTTGACCCCCTGGTTACACGATAAGAAACAAACATTGAGATGTCTAATTATAAAAGTCTTCTGTACTACAGTACGACTATACGACGAGAATACGAACATAGATCACAGATACGTTCATGTACAATATGCATAGACACATGTTAGCATTGCATGATTTGGGTAATAGGGAAGTTCAAATCCCTTATGTCAGAGAACATGACAGCTGCTTTACTGACTGTGTGGATTAGTTTATGTCATTAGTCAGTTACAGCCAGAAAACTTTCTTGATATAATGGAAGGCTGTCCACGTTTCATGCCTGTGTTTGTGCTCATTCATGAACTGTGGTGACTCAACAACAGCTTTAAATACTTCTTGTGGTATAAACCACATTGTTAATAACAAGAGTGAAATTACATATATACATATATATATTCTTATGATGGTTCTTATGATGGTTCTTGTGATGGTTGGGTTATATATGTCTGTTGTGTATCGTGCACTTTGGGTTCTTTTCTGTTGAATTGTATTTAATTATTTTGAGTATTTTGCATTTGTTATGTTCTTGCTGTTGTTTATGTTCTTCTGTGTTTGGTTTAGTTTGTTCTTGTTGTTGTTTATGTTCTTCTGTGTTTGGTTTAGTTTGTTCTTGTTGTTGTTTATGTTCTTCTGTGTTTGGTTTAGTTTGTTCTTGTTGTTGTTTATGTTCTTCTGTGTTTGGTTTAGTTTGTTCTTGTTTTTGTTTATGTTCTTCTGTGTTTGGTTTAGTTTGTTCTTGTTGTTGTTTATGTTCTTCTGTGTTTGGTTTAGTTTGTTCTTGTTTTTGTTTATGTTCTTCTGTGTTTGGTTTAGTTTGTTCTTGTTTTTGTTTATGTTCTTCTGTGTTTGGTTTAGTTTGTTCTTGTTTTTGCTGTTTGTCACAGCACTTTGTAAACCTGTGTTTTTAAAAGGTGCTATATAAATAAAGTTATTATTATTATTATTATTAAGTTATTTTGACATAAAAATATTACAAACATCAGACTTATATTCAACCTTCAAATGTAACTCTACAAAAGATGCATCACACTAGAGTCAATCTTACTTCTGGTTTAAACAAAATACAAAAATTAAAAGGATAAAAATCCCCCATCCAAAAGTCCAACTCAGGATGGGGGACAGATTCCAGGTTGTGCGTTCCTTCATGAGAGAAACATCCTCAAGCAGGAAGATGACATCGAAGAGAAAAGTGATTAATCAAAGAAAAAAACTTATAAATGAAGCTCATTCATCAACTAGAGCGGATCCAAACATGAGCTGATAAACACATTTCAGATAAATTACAACAAAATATTCAACTAAGCGATGAGAGTTCTCACCTGATTGTTGAGCGAGTGACGCTCCCTCACACGGGGAGAAATCATTACTAGAGATTTTTTTGGCTGCAGAGCATTGATGTTGTAGACTCGTCCAAACGGCTCCATTGATTGGAGCAGTTGATGACGCCAGGAATGAAAGCCTTTTTCTCTTCAAAATGATTCCAGCAAGTAGCTTAGCGGTGTTTACATCAGACAGTGAATGGACCGATTTCTGTGATTACACGTCTTTGTCTCCTCTCAGGTTCTGGCTCGCAGACTGTCCTCGGACAGCCGAGGCCGTCTCCTTTGCCAACCTGCTCTACAGGGAGCTGTCGGCCGTTCCCTACATGGCCAAGTTTGTGGTGTTTGCGAAGATGAATGAGGTGCGTGAGGGCCGCCTGCGCTGCTACTGCATGACCGACGATAAGATGGATAAGACCCTGGAACAACATGAGAACTTCACCGAGGTGGCTCGCAGCAGAGACATAGAGGTCGGTTCAGAGTTGAATTCTACGTTATAAAACACAGTGACACCACTGAGTGCTGATGGAGGTTTGATGCCTGTGTTTCATGTTGCAGGTGATGGAGGGAATGCCGCTTCACCTGGAGTGTTCAGGGAATCTAGTGCCGGTCAGAAAGGCTACCCAGCAGCCTCGCTGCTTCAGCTTCCAGGCCTTCAGAGATAACCGACTCCCTGTCTCTGTTAAGGTATCAGAATTTGGTTTCCTCTGACAAATCCACCTCAAGTTCTGTCCGATCGATCCATCTTTAACCAATTCAAAAGAAATGTTATATGAAGTCTGTGAGCAAACACTTTGCAACACTGGCATAATTCTACAATCCACTTAGCAGACGCTTTTCTCCAAAGCGACGTACATCAGAGAGAAAGAACAACAAGGATCTAGAAAAAAGGGAACAATGTCAGTAAGAGCAAACGATCAGCTTTGAGTCTGATTGGACACACAGGTGCTGACAGGAAGTGACCAGAGGCAAAGCACAACATTGAGGGCAGTTCTTGAGAGCTCTAATCAGTATAGAAACCATCTTATAAGTCGTCGTTATCAAACAAAAACCATCGTCATTACCATCATCATCATCAATAATATGGAGACCATCATCATTAAGTTAGTAGGTATTCATGAAAGAGCTGGGTCTTTAGCTTTTTCTTAAAGGTGCAGAGGGACTCTGCAGATCAAATGGAGTTTGGAAGTTCATTCCACCACCGGGGGGCGACAGAGGAGAAGAGTCTAGTCAGAGACTTAGGACCCTGTTGTGAAGGTTGGATCAGACGCCTTTCATTGGCAGAGCGTAGAGGGGGGGGGGAGTGTAGACCTGGATCAGAGAGTTAAAGTAAGGAGGAGACGGTTTTGTAGCGGAGTGCTCTTTTAGGAAGGTTGAAGATAACTCGTGCTGCTGCATTTTGTGTGGTAGGGATTAATTTCCTTTTAACAGGCAGAGACCTCGAGCAGAACCAGATTCATGTTCAACAGCACATCTGACTGTGTTGTGCTTTGAAAGGATAAATAAGACATGATGTAATTTATTGTTCCTTAACTCTATCCTGCAGTTTCAAGAGAATTAAATACATAAAAAGAGATCAAACAAAACATGTATCAATTCCACATATACATAAAAACACCTTCCTGCAGCGGTGACATATTGACATATTGCACGGCTGTTTGGCACATTCTTAATATTCAGAATATTAATGGTCATCATCGGTACAAAGGAAAGTTTGGAGCGGTTCAGCCCTGAATCTTCTCCCAGAGAGTGATAAAAGCTGACAGTCAGAGAAGCAGAGGACAGGTCTGTGTGCCACCGGGAGTAACGGAAAGACAGAGTCAATTTGTCTTTACTTATGCATTCTGCTGCATACAGAAGTATCCTATATACTAAGTTTGTGGAATATGTATACCATTGCAACATATGCACAACAAAGCTCCTCTGTCACTTTTATTTGTTTATTTATGTGACTGTGATTATGTCTTTGTACTATTGTTGAAAACTCAATAAAGATATTCTTTTAAAAAAAAAAGAAACTGGATTGTGAACAGGGCTTGTAGGTACCACAAGAGAAGCAGGCGTGCATTCTGGGAGTGTAATGTTGTGGACGGGTAATATGGCACTATGAGCTCTTTCAGAGATTGTAGCGCTGTATTCTCTGTTTCTACATGTTACCAGCTCCGTGTCTACTCTTCATATTGTATTAAAAGTGTCTTTCTATGTGTCTGTATGTTGAAGGTAAGAGACAGCAGTAAAGAGCACACTGGATTTCTGTCTTTCCTGCGCAAGTCCACAAAGTACGAGGACAGCCAACATGTGCTCTGCAACCTCAACATCACCATGCCTCCATGTATCAAGGTAGGAAGGAGCTGGTTCACATTTACAGGAAGCACAGAGTGTATTTAAGATGACAGACTTCAGTGTTGTTTGATTTGATTGGCAGGTCATCGGGAGTGAAGACCGGAGAAGAACTCTGACTCCGCTGGCTTTAAGAGAAAGATACAGCGCCCTAAATGAACCTGCCATGGGTAAGATGATCTAATTCTTCTGCTTGTAATTCAATTCGACATCAGACTGAGTGAACAAGACGTTAGAATTGGCAGTTGTGTGGTCTGTTTCTTGGCAGCCTCGATGAGTGCCATGGAGAGGACGGAGCTGAAGATGGCTGTGATTGCAGAGCAGTTGGGACTGAGCTGGGCCGGTAGGCGAACATGCTGTAAAACTGACCATGTTTACCTTTTGTCTGACAAGCTTGTCGAGCTCGCCGCTGATTAAACAAAGTTATAACATGGCCAGCAGCCAACCAAACTAATTATACGGCTGTTTTGCTGCCAAAACACCGACGCTGTTTGATAGATTTTTCAGCCTCTTGTGGGTAGAGCTCCTGTTAGCTCCAGCTCAAAAATAAGACTGTGTACACTGTGACAGCATGACTCAGCTGAAAATGATACGAATATTTTCCTCGCTTACTTGGACTGACTTTTAATTATAAGGTTTAATTTATTTCACATCACACCCATTTTAGCCACAGCTAAGATGCTCAAATTAGACCCACCTGCTATAAATGAATGAATAGAAAGAATGAATAAAATATAGATTATGAAAGCCTCTCATACAGCCTCAAAGTCCAAAAGAAAAGATTTTACAGGATAGGACCAAATCGATGGAGTGTGCAAAACCTTTAAGGCCAGACGTTATCTGAAATAACATGTCATTTGTAGTTTTTGCATCCGTTAGCTTTCTCTTTGTTTTATGATTCCTCTTCTTGTCTTCCACCCCTCTGAGGTGAAAGCTTCCCATGCTCAGGTCACATGTTCTGTAAAATACACTTAGCTAAGTTTTACAAACACTAATATGTGTCTCCACTTTTAAACTTAAAGGTTCCTCTTTGAGTCTATGAGATGAAGTCATGTTTTACAGAACAGAGATTTCTTTAACTCCTTCCTTCTGTTCCCTGAAGTTTAGAAGCTCAGGTTTACACTACTTCCTTGTAAAAAAAAAAAAAGAGAAAGAAGTGAGCTGTATTTTAAACAGATACCAGACTTTTGATCGTTATTACATCCGCTCTCATTAAACCAAGCTACAGGACCTTAACTTCATCAAGGATTCCACATCCCCAAATCTTTTTCAGAGCTCTACAAATATTTACCCGTGTGAGTGACATGTCCTGTCTGACTCATTTCTGAACAGAGTTAGCCCGAGAGCTGCAGCTCAGCGTGGACGACATCAATAAGATCCGAGTGGAGAATCCCAACTCGCTGCTGGAGCAGAGCTCTGCGCTGCTCAACCTGTGGGCCACTCGCGAGGGCAAGAGGGCCAAGAGTGAGTACAAGACATCTGAGCTGAGCACATCCTTTATTATACAATAAAGATCATTCTTCAAATACTTTTCCACACATTTATACCCACCTATTTATAGTACGCCTGAACTTAAAGCCACTGAGGGGCTGCATAGAAAGGCTCATTATTTAGTTGACGTACTAGCCTTGGCCTTCATAAAGCTTCAGTGTTTATCCAGCTCTGCATGGGTCTGTAAACCTTTCTGTGTTCTAACCTCTCTTCATTTTTCAAAAAGCATCTCCAATATTGATCCTAGTTTGAGCACGTTTCTGCTCGTGGAGCTTATTAGAAACATGCAGAGGCTTTTTAGGTCGGGTACAATCACTTCTATCTGAACCACTTCTCTTGACCCGCTTCCATCGCTGCAACACCTGTTGACCTGATAACTGCTCTCATATCTGACAAACAGAGGGGTGTCCAAAACGACTGTGTGGGGGGGTGTCTTAAAAGCGCCTACCTTCTCTGGTCCAAACAAATCCAGAGCATTCAGGAGCAGAATCTAAAGTTAGAAGGAGGACATACTGGCTGCTGCATTGTTGTCAGAGAAGCCAGCACTTCAACATAGCATGTTTCCTTAATGTCTGATCAGATAGTAAGATACCTTTATCATTTCATTCACTGGATATCTTACATATTGGTCCTTTATGGTCACTTTCCATTATGTTTTAGCATCAAATTACCAAACTAAGATATACATCTTGTATATGACAGAATGAGTGCCCCCCAGGAAGATACAGCACCAGCTGCATCAGAGAGTGCTTATTTCAACCTCTCATATTTTTCACCCCACTTTAACCCCTCTCTATCTTCATCCATCTCCTGCGCAGTGGAAAGCTTGTACGCAGCTCTGAAGAGCATCGACCGTATGGACATCGTCAACATGTTGGAGGGCCAGCCGCCTCAGCCCGCGAGACAAGGGTCCCGCGACCTCAGCAGACGCCGACACAACGAGAGAGAACACCTCTCCCCTGGTATGACCAATGGTGAGTTCCCCTCCCCCCAAAAACAATCCCACCATGCAGCCCTCTTCCCCTTGTTCCCTTTGTCTTGATCCTGAAGCCACCTTTCTAATAAACACACCCCCATGTTCCCTAGAGCCCTCCCCCAAAGTGACGGCAAAGTGAGGTTTGTTTCCCTCTGAACTCTCTGTTTTCCCCAGGTTGTTATTCTTTATTCTCTGTGATGCTCTTGTGTGTGAAAGCGGCCACAAACTTTTGCAGGAGTTTACCACAGCAACATGCAGAGGGACTCAGGACACTCCTACTGTACTACGACCTCAGTAGTACCTCAATGTGATATTCAGTCACTGTGAAGCAAAGCAGAGTACACAATGTAGTACTAAATCGTCAGTGTTTGTAAGAATCTAAATGAATAGCATTCTAGCAAAACACTCCACATAAAGAGAAGTAAAGTGGGCTGTGAATAGAGATTCTTTCTGCTCTCTTTTTTAAACTATTATCTCCAGTTAGTCTTTATCTTGGGCCATCATGAGTTGATGTATTTGTTAAACTGTAACAAGCCAACTCATCCAGCGTCTTAATTATAATATATTCTTTATTTATAGAGCACTTTTACAAGAACAGCAAAAATAACAGGCAGGTCTTACAATCATATGCAAAGGCAAAGATTACAAAATAAATACTTTAAAGGTTACACATTCTCCTCCTTTTTAACAAGTTTAACAACAAATAAGTCTCAGAGCTCCTCAAAACATGTGTGTGAAGTTTCTAGTTCTAAATCCACTCTGATCCTGTATTTGACCATGTCTATTTCAGCCCTGCTCAGAACAGGCTGTTTCTGTGTCTGTACCTTTAAATGTGTAAATGAGCTGTGTCTGACCACGCCCCCTCTCTGGAAGGGCTTGGGTGTACTCGGTGCTTTCTCGCTCCATGTCCTATTGTTAACGATGAGAAGGCAGACTCAGAGGGCAGAACAAACACCTAGCTGTGGGAGTGTCACCCACCGGGAGAGGGGCTACTGCCCTTTGTGATGTCATGAAGGGAACATCTCCAAACAGTCTGTCTGAAGACAGACTAGGGACACATGTTAGTGTTAGAAAACATGGTGAAGTTTATCTTACATACTATGTGACCTTTAAGACACAAAATGTGGCAGCTTTTGAGAATTTTTGGATAATAATCTAAAGTGTAAGGCTAGAAAGCACTTGAGTCTTATTTTGCTACTTTAAGAGATACTCAGGATCAGGATACTCAATGACAAATGTTATAGTTTCATGGCAAAAGACACACTTTTTTTGAAAGTGAATTACTGAAAAGATGAGATCATTTATAAATCCAGAAGGAAATTCTTAAATAAATGGAAAGACAGATAGAGGGGGCTAACCTAGCATGTTGGGTGTTCAGTGGCTCGCTGAACGGCACCTCAAAGAGTAAACTGGCGCCATACATGGTCTGCACTGGGACTGAAGTCCCTCCAGTTCCGAACCCAAACACAGCTGCTGTCGCTCCTCAGAACATGTTGGTTTTGGACCCCTGTTGCCAAACAGCCCCGAGTCAGAGTGGCTGTTATTTACATCCCATTCTCCTGGTTCTCTGTTTATTTCTTTACCATCATTTAGTTGATTATCTGACAAGAAGAAGACACTACAGCACTACTGCAACACATATTAATACATTCATTTATGTACTTAAACATTGAAATTAAATAAAGCAAGAGTTAGTGGGATATACTAAGCAAACAAAAAACAAAAAACCTCCATGAGAGGTGGCCCTAAATGTAGGCTAACTGGAAATATAGTTAATATAAAAACAGCTGGAAACATCCTGAGGGGTGGACATGGCTCCTGGCCTAAAGTATCTCCTAACATTTACTATTTTATCGTATTGTTCTGTGTGCTCGGGAAGTTAGACCAGTTACTCATGATTATAAAAGTAGTCTGTGATATTTTGTCTATGAAACAACACACTGTCATACATGTTAGTCCACATAGATCACGATGTAAGTATAGCCTAGCTTTACTGACCTCCTTACCAAATGTCAGTCTTTTACTCCTTTTCCTCATGGTTTCCTTCACACATGCATATTCTACATCCTATTGACTCCATTTTCACCTCTGGACTGGTGTGAGCTCCCTTCTTACTGGACTCTTCTCTGCACCCAGAGCAGACAAAGAGTTCGTCCTGCAGGTGTCAGGTCCTGGTCTGTGAAAACTGGAGCAATACTCTGAGATGTAACGATGCATAAAGAAACCACCATGAGGGCCAAAGGGGGGAAAAAAGGGAGACATTCAGATCACAGCTGCAGTGAATCTGATAACTGTGTATCAGTCTTGTCTGTCTTTCTGTCTGGCTACCTGCCTCCCAAAGGCCGTTCCTGCTTTGGTTTTCAGCGTAAGGTGGTGGCGTTTTTTGAATATCTAGATATTTTGTCCTCTGTTGATGTCACAGTGACGGGTTCAAGAAGTTCAAGACTCCTAGGAGTCCTAAAGGCACAGTGGGCGAGTGAAGGAACAAACCTGACTTTTATTAGGCAATACAAATGAGTCGAGGAATCAAATGATCAGATAATAAAAAGAAACGCTACAAGCGAAAGAAGCTTGATACCACTCTCATGTCCACACGGAAAGCTACTACAAGCAGAGGATTAGCTTAGCTTAACTGACGCTTAGACTGATTGTTTTTTACAACCTCTGTACAGATATTCACAAACAGGGGCAGATTCAGACACCTCCTGAATCCGCCCCTGTTTACACATTATAAAACGTAAAACACAAGAGGTTTAAAGATAGTTTCCTTTGGACAGAGCTGAGCTAGCTGCTTCTGTTTCCTGTCTTTGTGTTTCACTGTTAGCTACACTGTTAGTTAACTGTTAGCTACACTGTTAGTTAACTGTTAGTTACACTGTTAGTTAACTGTTAGCTACACTGTTAGTTAACTGTTAGTTAGACTGTTAGTTACACTATTAGTTAACTGTTAGCTACACTGTTAGTTAACTGTTAGTTACACTGTTAGTTAACTGTTAGTTACACTGTTAGTTAACTGTTATCTTCACTGTTAGTTAACTGTTAGTTAGACTGTTAGTTACACTGTTAGCTACATTGTTAGTTAACTGTTAGTTAACTGTTAGTTAACTGTTAGTTACACTGTTAGTTAACTGTTAGTTACACTGTTAGTTAACTGTTAGCTACACTGTTAGTTAACTGTTAGTTACACTGTTAGTTACACTGTTAGTTAACTGTTAGTTACACTGTTAGTTAACTGTTAGTTATACTGTTAGCTACACTGTTAGTTACACTGTTAGTTAACTGTTAGTTAACTGTTAGTCACACTGTTAGTTAACTGTTAGTCACACTGTTAGTTACACTGTTAGTTAACTGTTAATTACACTGTTAGTTAACTGTTAGTTATACTGTTAGCTACACTGTTAGTTACACTGTTAGTTAACTGTTAGTTACACTGTTAGTTACACTGTTAGTTAACTGTTAATTACACTGTTAGCTACAGTTAGCTTCACTGTTAGCTACACTGTTAGTTACACTGTTAGTTAACCGTTAGTTACACTGTTAGTTAACCGTTAGTTACACTGTTAGCTACACTGTTAGTTACACTGTTAGTCACACTGTTAGTTAACTGTTAGTTACACTGTTAGTTAACTGTTAGTTACACTGTTAGCTACAGTTAGCTTCACTGTTAGCTACAGTTAGCTTCACTGTTAGCTACGAGGAGTAGCTTCAGATTTACTGCACAAATATGAGAGTGGCATCAATAATCACATCTATCTCTTAGAGGGAGAAAAGACATTCTTTCACCAGTGTCCCTAAAAAGTCAGGTTCAGTCCTCCTCGTAAAAGAAGGCCATTTCTTAATTTCAACATTCAATCGTGTTAAATAGATTTATAATCCAAAGAAAAACAGAATCCTTACCGCAGCCTCTTTCTGTCTTTGTCTAGCTTTGCCAGTTTTTATCTTTTGTTTTCAGAAACTGTCTGTAGGATTTGACTGAGCAGGTTTGATAGTTTTAGTGCACCTTTTTCGTAGGTAAGAAAAGGTTTTCTCCGGCACATTCTCAGATTATCAGAGGGTTAAATAGAACAATTCATGTTGGATTAAGACCTCTTCTTTTAGCTTTGTGTAAATCTTCTCTGCCTGTGGTTGCATGGAGAGTAGTCTGAGTCTCTTTAGGGCTAATCTTGGTGCACTGAATGTCCTTTTGGGAGCCCTGTTTTCATTCCCTGTGAATCTGTCCCTCTCTCTGTGTTTCTCTGGACATGTCATCTGCAGCCTCGCCGTCCTCCTCTTACTCCTTCTCACTCCTCTCCGAACTCTGACCTCATGCAGACCTCATGTTGACCTCAGACCCACATCTTTATCTTTTTCTCTTTTTTTTTTGCGACTGGTCGTGCATTTTTTCTTTATTTTTTTGTGCTCTTGAAAACCCCACCTTTTTTAAGTGTCCGCTCTGTGACCGATTCCCCTCACACAGACTGTGTACTCAGCACCCACTGGGAGGGGGGAGGTGACCCTCGCTCTCTATCGCTGTTTCTGTCTCTATAACCATCACCCTCTTTTATATACTCCTCTCCCGCTCTCTGGCTGCCCTTCTTTTTCTCTCTTTCTCTCTCGCTGTCCTCTCCCTCTCTTCCCATCCTCTCTTCCCCTTGCCCTCCCGCCTGTCTGCATGCATATGCACGAGGCTGACTTCACCGTCATCTCCTCAGGTGTTTGCATCAAGGTTGTCAAAATGTTTCATTTCTTTGAAACTTTTTTTCGATACCATATTTTAAGCGATACCATCTCTGTTATTTTAATGAGTATAATAAAAGCACAGAAACTTTTTTTAAAAACTGCCGACATTCACTCATATGTTTTTACCAAAAGCTGCCAAGAGCAGAAGAGAGAGACCACTGTCTACATTGCACAAATCCAATGGCAACATTTCAGATTTGTGCAATGGAGACAGTGTGCAGGAGTTTGCCAGCAAATTTTGGTAATTAAAAACAACATATAACCTAATATTTGGTGCCTAAAACTTATATTTTTGTTGCAGAGGTATCCAAACAGACACCAATAGATTTATACGAGTATCAAATCTTTGTTTTAAACTCTGGTATCCTGACAACCCCTCGTTTGCATCCACACACCAGGATGCAGGGCGGGGAGTTGCACCGGCTTGTGGGAGATGACGACTCAAACACTGCATCGGCTCCTAACTCTGCTTGACCAACACATATTTAATCTCTGCATGGCATGCGTACTGAGCATGAGTCTACAGTCTGTCTCTGCTCGACCACTGATCTGTCTCTGTGGATTTAAAAAAAGGCCAGGAAGTCTTTTTTTTTGTGAACTCTTGACTTGTGTTTGCTCCGTTCATGTATGAATGTTGTGGTTGTTTTGTATGTCACTGATTCTATGTACACTGTGTCCATCTGACAGATTACTTTGTGTGGAATATATGTTTCTATATATGTGAGTGTCGTACAGGGGTCGGTTTGATCTCGACCCCCCCCATTATGTGCTTATTGTTTACCGTGAGTGTTATCAGTGTGAGCGTCTTTATATGTGTTTTGTGTCTTCCATATACGTGTGTATCAGTGTTAAGGTATATGGGCAAAGTGACCATATTTCTTTTCTATATATTTTCACATGAGCTTCAATGCTTTGTCTGTCTGTGTTCATGTTTTTTTCACTTCAGGGGGTCAGAAAATCACTGACGTGTGTTTCATATTTCACACTCGACTACTTCCCAGGACTGACAAACTCATTTATTATAAATTAATTACAAATGATAATCCAGAAAGTTTGGAAAGACAAATATAAATACTTATCAATTCACACCTGAGTCCACACCTTTTCAACATGGAGAAGTGTGCAGGTGCTTTTTCTCCAGAGTCGACTTTTCAATAAGCAAACAGTCATAAAAAAAGTTCAATCATTTACATTTTTAGTTGCACATGTCTCATTTTGTAGTGAATACACTTTCATCACAACCCCATTTCTTCTTCTTCTAGTGAGCAGACAGATTAAGGCAGCAAAAAAATTAAACGATGAAGGGCGAGGGAGGGAAACGTCTCATGTGGTGATACATTTCATCAACTGTGAATTGAAGCAGCTTCTAGTGAGCAGTCTTCATTTTGCCTTTGAGCATTCAAAGTGAAGCCAAAGGATGTATAAATACATCATATGAGCAGACATAAGGATTTATATACAGTATATATTTTCATGTTAACCTTAATTGTCACAAAAATGAAGCTAAAGCAAATGTGCAAAATCGTGTAGTTCCTCAGGTGTCCACTTGAGGCTGGTTGTAAAAGCCAGTGAATCTGTAGATATGATAAGAAATGTGATAGATGACCAACAATAACAAAAGTTTCATGCTATATCATGCCATAATTTATATATTACATTAGTTGATCATATAATGATGAATCTCAAAATGGAGATAACATGCAGGATTAATGCATTTATTCACTTTAATTTAGTGTCAGTTTCACATTTCATCACGCTTTATTCTTTAACTTCTTTTGGCTGCTGTCTCATACTTTCCGGCTGTCTTCTTCTTCTTTTTTCTTCTTCTTCTTATTTTAGCTGCTGTCAGCATCTTCTTTGGCCAGTTAAATTTCTGTTGACGTCACCTTCATTGATGTCGTGAGCACCACCATGTGGAGTCATGAAGTAGTGACGCAGTGAGGCAGTGTATCGATAACCCTGTCACGAGTCAGAATGAAGATATATCACTGTGTCCATACTCAGTCCCAGCCTATTTTATATGAAGTGTATATCTTTAGTTATTTCAGTTTACCTGCAGACAGCAGTGGAGCGTCTGAGAGAAAAAGTAGGACAAGAGGTCTCTGTGGCTGCTTGGTGTCACAAATATCTCCTGCACTCTCAGCAGGATTATGAACAGCAGCACTGCCAGCCCTGAATCAAGTTACACCCTCCGCTCTGCACAGTGTTCCTCATCACTACAGAGTACACGTACAGTCGCCTTCCCTCTCGCTCTCTCTCTCTCCATCTCTCTTTTTTTTGGGTCAATCACAACTTCACCTTACCTACACACATGTGTGTCCTACACTACATCACCCACTGCATCCCCTGGTTAATGTGATCACCACTCACACTTTGCTTTATCCGCCTATCATCAAGATTTCACATAAACTTTACTTATTCATTTGGTATGACCAAGATGGATACCAGACAGACTTATCTATATTTCCAGCTTCAAGGTTCATGCTTCATAGACTTTCAATTTTTATTTTTCTCCATGTGTTAGGATTAAAAATAAAAAAATAAACATTCCTGCAGCTGTGACATCGTGCCCGATCATCCTCGGCCTATCTTGACCGAAAAAAAAAAAAAAAGGAAGAATATCGATTTCAAAGGGCTTCAAGACAGTTGTAGGAGTGACCTGAGTCCACAGCACCGTAACAACGTGCAGTTTTACTCGTAACGATAACAATTATTTCAATTTTAAAAATCAAATTTTCTTTTTTGAGCGACATCCATGTGACTTTAAAATCAAGTCTACTGTAAGTGTGTTTGCAGAAATATGAGCATTATTTTAGGTGCTATGTTTACGTAGCTGTGTTTTATTGAATTCATTGTACTAAATATGTAACGTGTGTCAATTCAAAAGCCAGGAGCTGTGTTGAGAGCTGATGTGTGTGTGTGCATAATGTGTGTGAGGAGGGAATGAGATTGCCTGCGTGCATGCTATCCAGCCTGACAACAATATTAACCTGCCTGTTTCTGAGTGGGTTTGAATGCATGCATATCTGAGTGTGTGTGTGTGTGTGTGTGTGTGTGTGTGTGAGAGAGTGAGAGAGTGTGTGTAGGGCATGTGTATGCGTGACAAAGTGGTGTCTCTGCCGCACAGGTGTGTGTTTGTGGGCAGAGGCAGTAATTCCTGTCCGTCTCCCTGCAGGTGGCAGCCAGCAGAGCAGCATCAGTCACTGCCGGGTCCGAACCTCAGTGTCAGTGTCTCTCTCAGTCCGTCTTGGCTGTGTCTGTTGCTGCTGCCGCTGCTGCTCTCACCGTCAGCGCTGGCTGATCGAGCTTGAAAAACCCTCCACTCAAAGCTGCCCTTGCTCTCTCGTCCTAAGCTCCTTGCACTTTTATTCCAGTTTCTATTGTCTTGGCCCCTCCCCCTTTCTCCCTCCCCACTCCTTTCCCATTTGTCCCTTCAGCCTCCTCTACTCCCCCCCCCCAGATGCCCCACTCCTGGGCAGGGGCACTTGCCCCCTCCCGGGTGCTGTGGGGGTGAGGTAGGGAGCGAGGCGGGGGGGCCGGGTGTCAGTGTGCCTCTCTCTGTCTCGCTCCAGGTTATGGGCTCGCGCAGGATGAGCTTCTCTCTCCGGCCTCCATGCAGTACAGCCTGCCCTCCCCGCTCGGCGCTGAGCCTTACTGGCAGGAAGTCTCCAGCCTGGACTGTGCGCCCATCGCCACCACAGAGGAAGATACCCTCATGGAGATGTCTGACGTGCAGGTGTGGCCCTCTGGCAACAGCCCCTCCCTGGTGCCCGTGGAGGACTCCTCTCTGGAGTGCAGCAACGCCGACGACTCAGAAGGTCTGCTGGGGCTGCCGTATGGAAGTCTGGGACGACCGGCGAGTCAGGCCAGCGCCGCGAGCCCGGGTGGAGGGGTGCTGAGCGGCTCCATTGAGCTTCCTGAAGACGATTCAGAGATGGGCGTTGACTCGCTCAGCACTGCCACGCCGGCCTCGCTCGGGGGTACCATCGCTGGGATGAATCTTAACGGGCTGAACAATGGTCAGGGGTCAGAGGCGAGTTCGGAGGTCTCGGCGTTCACCAGCGCGACTGGTGGAGACGGAGCTGGAGGAGGAGGAAGAGGAGGAGGAATGACGGGCTCAGTGGAAGGGCTTTCTCTTGTTGCAGGACAGCAAAGGGTGTATGCTCGGCTGAGTGAGTCACCTGGTCTGAGCTGTGTCGCAGATCGAAACGGAGACAGGTGAGTCGGGCCTCGTGCTGCCGCTCCTCTCAGGTGACAACAATAAATCTGTGCTAACATCCTTTCATTTTCACTGCATGTCTGTGGTGAACTGGATTCTTTCAGACAATTCTGCAAAGGAAGTAACAGCTAGGTGTTAGGATAAGTCGTTTGCGTTCATTGGATTGAGCATGTGGAGTCCTCGTACCCGCCCCCCCCCCCCTCCTCATCGGGTCTGCTCTCTGCTTTCAGGTCAGGTAACGGTGGGAATGGAGGTGGTGGAGGCTCTTTCCTTTCTTACCTGCAGGAACAGACAGGTCCAGGCTGGATCCCTGTCACCGACCCCACTCAGGCCTGGGTGGGCAATCAGCCCAAAGCCAGGCAGGCCATGGACACTATGATGTCATCAGTGTGTAACGCTGTGGACGGAGACCAGTCCCACATGTCCCAGGAGGCCTTGCTTCAGCCTGTGAGGGACATGGGGCACTCTGAGATCTTACGGGGGCACTTCAGAGGTACCCAGCCGTTTGAGAAGGGTTTGGGGTTCCCCCACCGGGTGCCAGAGCTGAGGGCCTGGGACGAAGTGCGCCTGAAGGGACAGGTGAGTTTGGTGCACCTGACAACCTAACCCTAACCCTAAAGGATGATGTTTGTTACCGATGACAAATACTCAGATAAGCAGACATTAACAGAGTCAGTAGCCACACTCTGGGCTACACTCCGCGTCACACTGATCGCAGGTTGACTCCAAAATCGATGTTGTTTGGTGCATGTCACCCCCCCAATCCAGGCCCTCACTTTTCCCGTCTCTCTGTCTCTGTCCTGTCAAATAAAGGCTGAAAAACCCCAAAAATTATCTTATTATTATCTTGGCCACATTCGTTAAATTCTCACTGCCAGAGGGCCAAATTGTAGGATACAAAAACAATTACAGTCTATTATGTTTCAAATTTAACTCAACATATACCACTGAGCTAATATAATTATGGACATATTTCTGGTTTTCATGGCAGATTTTGTCATGTTTTCCAATTTATTGATATGTAAAAATGTACCTGAGGGCCACGTTGAGGGTTGTGGCCCCCATCAACCAGCCAGTTGCCCACCCCTGGTCTACATACAAGGTATACAGCTGAACAAAACATTTGTACTCCGGGTCAAATGATAATAGAAGTGGAGTCGATGTTTAAGTAAATAATGTTTTTCCAACTAAAAGCTGCTGTGAGAGAAAGAGAGAGAGAGACAGCTGTGGACCAATCAAATCCACAGGTCGGTCCAGCTTATAGTTTAATTGTTTCTGGAGACAACCCTAGTTGATGTAAAGACCTGACTGGAGGGTCTTTATTGTGATGAGTATCTATTTTTAAAAGACACAAAGGGTCGTAACAGACAACTTATTTCTAATTGAATAATGGGGAGACCTTTGCTCTACTTCAGTGCTTCCCAAAGTGCACTGAAAGTGCACGGCCCCCTGGTGGGCTGTGTGGGTACTGCAGGTGGACCGCAAAAAGCCCTCCACCAGTTTAGAAAAAAAGAAATATCACAATAATGATGATTCACCACGAGTCAACCCTTTAAGTGATTAGTAAGACGTGTCATGACTATTCATGGACATATTTTTTAGTAAACTTTTGTGTCTGTGTAATGTCCAATAATTGACCCTTACTGAAAGTTATAGCTGTAGTCATAAAAAAAAAATTATAACGGGCCCCGGACTAATTTTGTATTTCAAAGCGGGCCGTGTCAGTCTTAAGTTTGGGAAAGGCTGCTCTACTTAATCCATTGATCAGCCACACACACACACACACACACACACACACACACACACAGTGGGCTCAGTTGGTAGAGTTGGCGTCTCTCAACTGCAAGTTTGTGAGGTTCGATCCCCAGCTCCTGCAGCAACATGTCTGATGTGTCCTTAGGCAACACACTTAACCCTGAATTGCTCCCGCTGCTTCGTGTGCTGCGTCTGAGTGTGTATGAATGTGATCAGTTACTTCTGATGGACTCTTCACACAGCAGCCTCTACCATCAGTGTGTGAATGTGTAGGTGTGACCTGCGGTGTAAAAGCACTTTGAGTAGTCAGAAGACTAGAAAAGCTCTATACAATTCTATTTACACACACACACACAAACACAACAAACAAACAGACACACACAGTCAAGTACCCAAGATGGGCACAAACAGCATGTCAAGCCAAATATAGCAAACATTCCCGCTGTCCACTCGTGTTACATGATCCCCCCACCACCCCAAGTGTTAACTTTCTGGCACAACACCACGTCGCACTGTAAAGGACGATCTCACTCATTAAATTGAGTGAGGGCAGAAATAGAGGGCTGCTTTCAGGAACTCTTTGGGGAGGCTTTTGTATTCCGTTCTTTAAGAGTAATTTTGCTTGGATCTACTTTAACTAGAGCTGTTTTTTTGAGGCACTGTGTTGCAATACTGTTGGTGTTTTTGGTGGAGGTGTGATGTCTCGACTTTGTGAATGAGACGTAGTTTAAGTACCTGAAGGACGTCAGGGTGAAAGTTTCTTTGTGATCTTGCATACAGAGTCACACCGGAGCAGCAGGAGGTATTTAAAGCCCACAGATCACATGGTCAGAGAGAGAGAGAGAGAGAGAGAGAGAGAGAGAGAGAGAGAGGTGGGAATAGAAGCCTCCCAAGGTTGTCTTTCCTTAGATTTGATGTCATTGAGTGAAGACTCCTGACCTGTCAGCGGGAAGGAGAACGAATAGAGACCCTGAGGAAAGGGCCCACCGCCCCAGCTAATGGAGGACGGGTATGAACTGAAAGACAAAACAAGCACACTGTGACTGAAACAGTGAAAGAAGGCGGCAGGCGGCAGCTGTCACCTTTCCTCTCAGCTCAGGGGGGAAACAGGAGTCAGTGAAGGCGGAGGCAGGCAGGGTGAAGTCGTGTGTGTGTGTGTGTTGAGTTGCGATGTGGGCCCTTGTGACAGAGCTCCTCTTCAGCTTCGTGCTGCTGGCCTTCCTGGTCATCAGCTGTCAGAACGTCCTCCACATAGCCAGCGGCTCGGTGCGCTCCGTGCTCACCTACGTCCACGCTCAGCTGGACCGCGAGCTCGGCGAGGTCGAGGGAGTGGCCGACGAGGAGGAGAACGTCACTACGAGAGTGGTCCGCCGCAGAGTCATCCTTAAGGTACAAAGAGAGAGAGAGAGGGGGGACGGAGGAGAGTCAGGGGAATACTTACAGGCAGGAGAACAACAACAACAACAACAACAACAACAACGACAGGAGAGAAAAAGGAGGAAATGGTGACAGGATGCAGTGTGTGTGATATAAAGCAACAAGGTTCAGTGGATGATTCTGCAGATTACGTTAACTTGATAAGAGTGTGGGTCAAATAGTGCAGGAAGCATTACTTCAGGACTCTGTGGTGACGACAGAAAGCAATCAAACGAATAAAGTATTAACGGTCCTCTGCAGCGCTGATGTGACTAAATTTATCCCCTACTGTAACTGATGTAAATAGATGTCATTGACTCAACAGATCTTTTTAAAACTCTATATTCTTCCCACAGTAGCTCTCGCTATGCCAACCTGAACACTCGAGGGCTCGACTGGCGTTTGTTCTGGCGTCTGAAGCTGCAGGAATTTCTTTGAGTTTATAAATAGCCGTGTGGACTTACCGCAAATTATGAGAGGGCTTCAAACAGCATTGTCCTGATCATGAGCCGTAATCATAAGAGTCGCTCAGAAACATTAGTGAACTCGATGGATCCTAACTGAAGCACCCTCTAACCCCTCACCCATCTGTCGTTCATCTGCTCCTGTGTTTTCATTATTGGTTGGTGATAATTACACAGCAGTGGGAGCTATTTTAACATATCAGGTCCAAAATATTCTGGGTGCTGATTCATTTGAATCCTGAGTTTATGTTGCTTTTTTTAGACTTTAGGAAGTCATATCTTGGAGCCATCACTCTTAAATTTAAGACCAACACTTTCAAGGACTTTCATTGTTACTTAAAGGCTTTATATGTGATTTTTCACACTTAAATGTAGAAATCAAGTATATCCTCTGAAAATAACTCTGTGAGTCATGACTGTCTACAATGGGTGTAACACCCGAGTCCCACTGTCTGTGATGTTTTCAGAGTTTTCAGAGTCCTATCTTCAGTTTGTTTACATCGCCAGGACAGCCGGCTGACTCCTCCCCTCGTGTATAAAAGTTGTTTAATTGAGGGACTAGAGAAAAGAAGAATAACATACTGTACTCACTGCTTAACTGTGTTTCTAGATCACGCTCATTTCAGGTAAATTTACATGCAGTGTGAAGATACCAGCATAATAAAGATCGCTAGCATTAGCATGCTAACACAACAATGCAGCGCGAGTTCGTTTTGGTTTCATGCTGGTGCTCAAGGGCGACACCTGCTGGATCAAAAAATCACATATAAAGCCGGAAAGCAGGAAAAGATCACTGAAATTTAAGATCTCTAATCTGTAAAAATCAAAAGTTTTGGACAAACATGAGCAGCCACACACACAAATGGTAAACGGACTTGAGCTTGTGAAGCGCTTTTCTGGTCTTCTACTCAAAGCTCTTTTACACCGCAGGTCACACCTACACATTCACACACTGATGGTAGAGACTGCTGTGTAAAGAGTCCATCAGTATTAACTCATCCATTCACACACACTCAGACGCCCCTGATGAAGCACTGGGTGCAATTTGTGGTCACATTGGACATGAGGCTGCAGGAGCTGGGGATTGACAGAGGTGCTGCTTGGGGCCCCTGAGAGATACCAAACTTTAAACCAAAGCTGAGTCTAAAAATGTGCAAATTTTTTTCATTGACAGTAGGAAACCTCCCTAAGGGGGCCCCCAATCTGACAGCACTCACTTGCATTGCTCTGATAAGTGTTGCCTGCTCTATTTCTGTGAAAACCAAAGTTTGTCGATGAGGAATAGGAGTAAGCATCGGGACACTGGCAGACATCATTGTGATGAACGCTGGTTCGAGGGTCCCCCAGTGAATTTTTGCCCTGGGGCCCCAGTAGAGTCTAGAACCCCAACTTTCCAGTTAAGAAATTACCAAATCTACCACTGAGCCACAACCGGCCCACATTAAAAGACATGACTAACGGTGTAATGAAGCAGTTGCAGTTAGAAAAAATACAATTTACCCTGAGAAGAAAGATAAATATGTTTTACTCAATATGGCAGCCATTTATAGTCCACTATAACAAAAACAACCTCATATAAAAATAACAATTTAGTAAAATCCAGAGCCCTTGACATCCTCCAAGTTGTATTATTATTACTATTTAAATCTCTTTTTTATATCTTATTATTTTGGTATTATACCTGTTTTTACTTGTGTTTTTTATAGCTTATCTTTTTATTTATTTATTATCATTTATTTAGTTTTTGTGTAAAAAAAAGAATAAAGAGAATAAAAAAAAAAAAAGAGACATGACTAACAAGTAAAAGAAAATATTCCAGGATTAAAAAATCCATCAGGTCATTTAAAATCACTTTAGAAGCATCTAGTGAGACCAGCTCATTAAGTTTCAGGTCGTTTATTAATTCACCTTCATTAAAAAGTAACAAATGCTGTTTCTATCCTCAGGGCGATGAGGTTGAAGATCTTCCCGGAGAGCAAGTAAGCGAGGAACAATTCACGGACGAACACGGAAACATCGTCACAAAAAAGGTCAGACATTTCAACATTTTTTTAAAACTTCCTTCCTGCACTTATTGTTTTCCTTAAGTGTCACAAAACACTCTCAGCATCTCTCAACAGAATGATTATATACCATTATAATCATTTCAGCGTTTCAAAGAGTGCATTGCATGTGCCACAATCATCAATAGATTTTATTTCTATTCAAAAGACGATGTCTCTTTTGATCCATATCTATTTCTTTATATTTCACCAACTCTTATTCCCACTCTCTGCTTCCATCCATCGCTCTCTCCCACCCTCCTTCCTGTGTGCGTCTGTGATAGATTGTGCGTAAGGTTGTGCGCAGAGGGAAGGGTTCAGGTGAGGAGGGGGTTCAGGAGGTGAGCGTGGAGGGTTCTCTGCAGGACGCCAACGACCTGGAGGTTGACGCTGAGCAGTTCATAAACTACGCCATCCTGGGCCGGGACAGCAGCAAGGTGGGCTTCTGATCTGCAGGCGGCTCTCTGTGGGTCAGCAACCGTGGGTCAGCGTTGTGTGTTATTACCAGTGGGTGCAGGGACGGACTGAATCAGATCGGATGAAACAGCTGATCTGCATCTGATGAGAGTTTGTTTTGTTTAAATCCATGTCGTAGCGAGAGGTTGAGGTCTTATCCTGTCACAGTTTTAAAAGCTGCATGAGCCTCAGTGTGACAGGCAGAGTCTTAAAATGTTTTACAAAGAGTCTTAAATCAAAATCCAAGAGTGAGAGTATAGTTCATAGACTGTATATAAAGATGGACAATGCATCCTAAACTCCTCCAGTTGAACAAAAATGAAGCCAAAATATTCCTTGAGCAATAGAGAGTGCCACAGTTTTGACATCCTGCCCCTTTTGCAAACCAAAACAGACCATTCAAATGTCAAAGATCCTTCAGGTTGGTACAGTCCACAGCAGAACGTTTGTGTCTTTTTGAAGAAGACACTTATTGTTATAGAAAGTTCAATAACTCTTTTGTTTTTGTTTGTTTTCGTTACCTTCCTCTCTCCGTTCTACTTTGACAATCTGGTGCACACAGCGTTGCAGGAGCCTCATTCGCCAACAGAGCTGTCAATCGTGGTGTAATGCTCCTTTTTTTAAATCTAAAAACTGAATAAAAAATTCTCAGAAAACTAAACACCAGCACATAAATTAGAATTAAAAAAAACAAAACTTTAGGGGTGCTGGAGGCGCAGTGGTTGGTGTGCACGCCCCATGTATGGAGGCTGTAGTCTTCCAAGCGGGGGCGGCCCAGGTTCGAATCCAGCCCGTGGCTCCTTTCCCGCATGTCATTCCCTGATTTCCAACTCTATCCACTGTCCTATCTCTCAATTAAAGGAACAAAAAGCCCCAAAATAAATCTTCAAAAAAAACAAAAAACTTTAGTGACAAAAAAAACATGTTAGAAAAATGTGTGTTTTGGTTGACCTGTGTCCCATCTAGTAACATTGAGGAGGCGGAGCTTCTGATAAATGTTCTGGCTTCACTTTTGGGGAGCTGTCATGTCGCGTCCATCTTTTTATGCAGCCTAAGGTTTGAACTGGTTTGACTGCTGATGTTCTCTTAAGTTAAACAAACACTCAGATCTTCTTTCCTCGTGTTCCTCTTCTGCATGTAAGAGGAACAGATGAGTCCACTCTGCTCTGTTGCTGCTTGTTCAGGTTTCATCATTTTAGTCATGGCTAAGCTTCACCTCCACCTCCTGTGTTTGTTAATGCACATTAATAACTGAATGAAATAACTGTGGCTCCTTTATCATGGCGGTTTGTCCCCCCCCCCACCACTCTGTCATTTTTTTTGCCTTCATTAAAGTTTTTAGTCCTTCAACTGTGACTCTGTGCTGTATCACTCAAACGTGCAAGACTCTGAATCAGAGCTGAGTCAAATATTATTTACAGACTTTATAGTTTATGATTACTGAACCTGCAAGAAGAAGAAGAAGTAGAGGATTAAGGATTGACCACATCCAGACATTTCTGTCTTATGTGGTCAAATCTCATTCATCTCAACTCAGAAAAAGTGTTTGCAAATATTATTTGACACAGATTTCCTCTGAGTCCTGAATACTGTAGATGTTTCTGATGCCCTCTTATCTTCAACTGTCTTTCCGCCCATCACTTCTGTCCTTGCTTGATTGTTTATACATAATTTCTTTCTTTCTTTTCTCCCCCTCTTTCCTCTCCCCTTATTTATTTGTCTCTCACTTTTCTATTTCCCATCGTCGCACTGTGTCCTTCCTCTGTTGTTCCATTTTCATTTCCCTTCATCGTTTTACTCCTTCCTATCATGTCTCCTTTTATTTCTCCACGACTAACGTTCACCCCGACCCGTTGTCCTGCTCCTGTCATCCCACCTCTTCTCGGCCCTCACACCTCGTCTGCTGCCAACCCTCCTTCCCCTCCCTGATGTAGCCCGATTCTGTGGATGTGAAGAAAGGTGCTCAGATAGTGAAATGTGCCAGTCTGCGGAGAGTTAAGCAATGAGGCAGACCCCGCAGGTACGGGACTGACCCACAGTGCCTCATCTGACCTGTGGGCTAGACCATTTAATCCAGTCTCTCTGGATTAAATGCATCTGAATGTACCTTTAATTCACTACTAATGACTTATAATGTGATGCTGGCACAGCAAAGTGACACTTCAGGTTAACTTGTGATCACAAAATCAATGAAGAGATCAGATGGATGTGAAAAGAACTTCAGATATGAAGGTTTTCTCTCCGCAGTAACACTGTGGAGTAAAAACACATCAGTATAGATCTCAGGTGAAACTTCCTTAAAGGCTTTATATGTGATTTTTTGAGTCAGCAGATGTCGCCCTTGAGCACCAAAACAACTTGCGCTGCATTGTTGTGTTAGCATGCTAATGCTAGCGATCTTTATTATGCTGGTATCTTCACACTGCATGTAAATTTACCTGAAATGAGCGTGATCTAGAAACACAGTTAAGCAGTGAGTACAGTATGTTATTCTTCTTTTCTCTAGTCCCTCAATTAAACAACTTTTATACTCGAGGGGAGGAGTCAGCCGGCCATCCCGGCGATGTAAACAAACTGAAGATAGGACTCTGAAAACATCACAGACAGTGGGACTCGGGTGTTACACCCATTGTAGACAGTCATGACTCACAGAGTTATTTTCAGAGGATATACTTGATCTATATTATATATATGTTTTTAAATGACATATAAAGCCTTTAATGTTTGTTTATTTGTACGCCATAAATCTGGAAAGTGCATCTTTTTTATTCTTTTTTAACTCATTTTTTAAAACCTGAACTTCAGGACGATTGCACTTAAAGAAAATGCTGTTCATGCAAACTCTGCAGAGTTATATTTTATATTATATAGGGCAAAGTTCAATTGTTCAAATTAAATCCTTGTTTGCATTAAGATTGTAAAAATGTTTGATATCTCAATACTTTTTGATACCTCATGGTTAACAAGAATACAATCTTCTGTTGTCAAAAAGTACAAAAGCTGTAAAATAACTTCAGATCTTTAGTCATAATTTTAATTAAAAGCTAAAGCCAGAAAAAGAAAGAGAGCACTGTTGTGTATGTTGGAAACATTTAGACAGCGTGCAAGAGTCTGCCTGCACTTCTGGGTAATTAAAAATAACTTTAAAAAAAATATCAGGTGCCTTGTTGCCTTTGTTGCTGATTTTTGTCTTGTATCAAATCAAAGTTTAACATTTTGGCATCATGACAACCCTGAATGTTAAAAAAATATCTTTACAACATATTAAATGAATGTTTCCCTGCTCAAAGTTTAGTGTAAATACTGGCGTCCGTTCTGGCCGCAGCACGCCACTTTATTTCTTGGTGCATGTTTTGACACGCTGGAAAAGGGTTGGCACAAAGTGCACTCAGCAAAACACGCAGCTGAAAACGATCCTGTAATGTGACAGCTCTCAAGGTCAAAGCTGTAAGGCCAGTTGTTCTGTGACTGGCTATCTGGAGCCACTGTATCGTGTGTGTGTGTGTGTGTGTGTGTGTGTGTGTGTGTGAGAGACTTGCCCTTTCTAACTCAAAGGCCACAACATTCCTGAGATTACTGATTTTTCATGCGACTCCCTACTGAACGTTAAACCACTTCTGCCAACCGTTTTTTGCTTAAATGCTTCTGCAGGACTAACTGGTTACTTCTCAGAGCGCAGCAGAGATTAAATAAAAGATGACTGGATTAAAGATGCACCGATTGTCACAATCAGGGCCGATACTGATACCAATGTTTACACGATCAATTCAGCATCTGTTTTTGAAATGAGAATTGATTTGTTTTTTAAGATCTATTTTTGAGCCTTTGCTTTTATTTGAAAGGACAGTGGATAGAGTAGGAAATCGGAGAGAGAGAAGGGGAAAGGAGATGTGGGTTAGACTATAGCCTCCATACACGGGGCGCTACCTAACCGCTCGGTCATCAGCCCCCTGAGATTTTATATCTTTAAATTGTTAGTCGTCCCTACTCGTAAAACGAGACTTGAACGTGTCTTACAAACTGCATGTCGCTGATCTTTCTCCGAGACGATGTCAGACTCCCACACTGCCGTCATTTTCTTTCACGTTTGACCAGAAAACAATCGGAGTTTGTCCATCAGCTGACATCTTCCACCCAATAAAAAGCATTTCCAGCATTTAACAGATAAACATCGGCTTCTGACATTGGTGGAGGAGATATTATTACCAACTGGGCGATGTTTGTTAACGGGGTCAATATCGGCAGATACCGATCAGCCGATACATCGGTGCATCCTTACTTCAGGTCACTGCCCAGAAAAGTCAAACCAACCTCAGTTTAAAGTTTACAAATATCTAACTTAACTAAAAAAAACATTTGCACTGACGCACTGCAGCCTGCATGGCACCTGCTCTGTCTTGTCCCGTTTTTTTTATTTTTACTGTAGTCAGATTTTAAAAGAAAGTCGTGCTCCGTCCTAAAACCTCCTGTTCTCTTCTTCCACAGAGTTCTCCACAAGATTCAACCCCTTCACCAAATCCATCGTACATGGACACATGACCAGCAGCAGCTGTCAGGAGGAAGAAGAACACACACAAAGAGGCAGACAGACAGGAATGAAGGGGCGAGAGACACCACGGTCGACTCTGCCGACTTATCAGCACGCACCGGGAAAGAGAAGGACACAGAATAACCTGTAGTTTTTATTACCTTTTTTTTTTTTTTTTTTAAAGAAACCGTGGGGGAAAAAAAAACATCTAATACTAGGCTAGAAGCATGATTTCATATAAAAAAAGAAAAACCAAACACAAACAAAAAAAAACTAGCAACCAAAACGTGCTTCCTGTTATCTGTATCAGCATGAGTGACTGCTGCCGCATGGCCTGTCTTTAACTACAAATACTGAGGGAATAAGGGGGGGGGGGGGGGATGGGGGGGTACACTGCTGTGTGGGACAGGCATGCAATACGGGCTGTGGTCAATCACACGCCCTGTTTTCTAAACAAAGCGGGGGGACGTCTATCAGTCAAAAAAAAAAAGAGGAGACATAAACATGAGCGTTACATCATCTCTAGGCAACAGGTTTCCCTCCTCCTCCCCACGACAAACTCGTCCAGCTAAGAGCATCGCAAACTCGTTTTAAAAACCTGTCAAAGTCCAGTGAAGCTACAAGTATCACCCAAGGATATCGGTGTTGTACATAATATCGTATGCACTAAAAATGCTCGACGTGACTGTGTGTTGTTTTCTGTTCTATGCGATTCCACTGATGCTGCTGTTTCAGGTACATAAGAGTTCCCCTCCCTGTTTTTTCTTCCTTTTTTGGTTCGTTTGGTCTGAGCTTATATATTATTATTCTATATATCTTGAGATCTCTGTGGGTACAAGAACATACAAATGTTGTGTCGCGCTGCCTGTTTTTTAAAACGTCCAATCTCTGTGTGTCAGGTCGTTTGTTTCTTTGTGCTTTTCATGTGCTTCCACTTTTTTTTTGTTGCTTTTGACATGTTGAACTGTCGAGGGAGGACTTACTGTCTGTCGGTCGTTTACTGCACTGTGGGGTTTTTTTGAGCCTTGGGAGGCGGGTTTCTGCACCGAACCTGCCTCCCCCGACCTTCCCTCAGAGTAGTTTTGCCTTCATGGTGACACATGAGAGAAGGACCTACTCTACCATCCCCACTCCTCTGCCTTCTCTCGTCCCCCGGCGTGCAGGCGTGGCGTTAATCAGATGTCTGTCTGAACAAAAAAAAATCCAAACACCTGTCTTCACTCTCAAACTCGCCCTTATCGCCCCCCCTCTCGCCCCTCTCAGAGTAGATGTAGCAGTCCTGGTTACCCCCCAGCAGGTGGCAGGATCTCACCTTCAGCAGCTTCTGATTGACCTCATCGTGCAGTTTTATGACAACCCCCCTCTCCCCCCCCCATGAGGTGCACTTATACGATGCCATCTCACCACCCCCTAGAAGACGTCACTTGAAGCGGGGGGGAAATGTAGCTAGTAACAAAATGTAGCCCTGGTTTTGATTGGGTGGAAAGATGGAGGATCGAGCCGGAGAGAGGAGATGTGTGTGTGTGTGTGTGACGCCGTTGGGTCGAGGAACGTGTTGAGCGTTTGATGTTTGTCTCCTTGGTAACGCGCTTAAGGAGGTGTAGCAAAGAAAGTCAGTCGCCAATCACTGTGAAGAGAAACTGTAATACTGACCCGCAACTGTGAGCCCGACCCCTTCCAGAAGCGAGATTCACTCTTTGCTTTATGTCCTCTGTTTTGTTTTCATGTCTTTTAAATGTTCCTCAGAAGAAGCAATAACTGCTTACAAGTACACAAGGAAAGGATGCTTTGTGTGAGTGTGTGAGAACGTTTCAAGGCTACTCCTGACTCCACTCCAAATGATGTCAGCACATTAGTAATCCCTCATCTGATCACTTTGTGAAATAACAGTATGAAGCTGTAAGAGTGGGCTGATCTCCGTGTGACTTTATACCAGCCACCCCGTCTGCAAAGTGCCCAGTCTGGTTTTTGTTACTCATCGAGGAATGTAGGTGTGTTAAGTCTTAGTTTTTCAATCTAATTTAAAATCATATGCACCTTGAAGAAATCCAACTGTGTGTGTGTGTGTGTGTGTGTGTGTGTGTGTGTGTGTGTGTGTGTCCTGGATATGCACACGTGTCAAGCTCGTCACATGACATGACGTCGAAAACGGACTCAGATCACACATCTGAAATCTTATTCACTTACTTTTTAAAGTTGATTTACCTCAATGCGTGTGCCATCATCATCATCATCATCATCATCATCATCACATGACATCACGTGCATACATGCGTTTATTTCAAACTTCATGTACGACATTGAATGATTTCTCATATGTAAGTCACACACAGCAAAACGTTGCAATAACCGCTCATCAGTAAGTGTTTGTTTCGTCCGGCTCCGCAGCCAGATGAAGATGAATGTACGGTTCCTGGTATTCTCTTTAAGTCTTGTTATGAAGTAGTCATCTGTGTTGACCTCGTACTTTAGTAGATGTTAGGATATTCACTTCAACTCAATATCTGCTGTGTTGAGCGTCGTCTTTCATTACAAATCATGTGAGAGGAGACGTTTCCAGAGAGAAGTATCCCTACCTACACCAGATATATGATTTCTATTTTATTATATTTTTTTAATAACTACTAACAGTAGGATGTCAATAGAGATTACACAGCAGTGTGATGTTATATTACCCCGTGTGTTAGAGCATACCGTGTGCTCACTTAGAGCTCATGATTATTGTATGCTTTGGGTAGATTTTTGAAGCAGAGGCTGTTTATAAAAGTCCACTGCTGATGTCAGGGTTGGAAGCGAAAGGGGGGGGAGAGGGGGGGTCTGATGAAAAGACTCTGATGGATTATTATGAGAAGGCTTGGTGGCTCTGATGACTAGTCTTTCAAGATGACAAGCATTTTCCCTCAACACAACTAAACCCCCCTTTAATTTCCCCCACCCCTTTTACCAAAAAATAAGAGCGAGCCGGTTCTAAGGCTTCCACGTGGTGACGGTTTGAGCGGCGGTTTTAAAGGAGGAGTCCGGTTAAGTGCACGCGAGAGGGAGATGTGGTTTCAACCCCGAGGAAAATTCAGCTTCTGCCCTGAGGGACGAGCGAGACGATGCCATGCACCAAGTTCATGCAAAAATATTAACTGTTGCAAAAACTAGAGAACACATGTATATTCCTTTAGAATGGATTGAAGACATTATTAACGCAATAGCATATTACTCAATACTAAGGAATGCAACTGCGCACATGCACAGAAAATGTTTTTAACATAAAAGGCTATATATATATGAAATATATAAAAAAAATATATATATATTTACTTAGAATGCTATGCACCCTTACTTGTCAACTGGGATTCTAGTTATGTTATGGATGTACTTTTAGCATCATAAAGCTGTAGCTACCAAGAGACTGTTGAGTTCTGGGTAATGCCTGCGACCTGGGGATAAATAGGGGTCTTGTGGGTATTTTAACCTTTTTTTTTTGTTTGCTTTTTTATTGTTATGGAGAGTCAAACATGAATTTAAAATATAAATGTAAAAGCCTTTTAATCCAATCGAATCGGAAGGACATCTATTGACAATATTCTCTGTACACCAGCTCAACATTTACAAAATTAATAAAGAAATGAAATGTCTTTGTGTACAGTGTGTATGCTTTTTGTGACAAACGCCAACTACTCACAGACAAAGAACGTGTCCTTAAATCACAGGAAGATTATCACAACTAAAATAAGAGTCACCAGCATTGTGTTCATTTTTAGCATTAAAAAATGCATGCAGTAAAAGGAAAGTCAGCAGCTTTTGTTTGTGTTTGCATGGGCTACAAGTGAACTAGTAAGTTCTCTGTGAAGGTTCTCAGTCATCCGGGTCATGATAACTTCATCACACAGACAACTGGACTTGGTTAAGGTTCTTTGACGTGTTTCATTTTCTCATTCAGAGAAGTTAGTCGACTGTCAGAAGAGAAGTGAAGCCAAACAAATCCACTTCCTTTCTGGATAAAACTTTGAAGGAGTCATTAGAAGATGAAGTGTTTAATTTCTGTTTTTAGATCCGGTCTCTGTGATGACACGGTGTTTGAAATTTGCCTTTGCAGGAACTTTTTCATCACATAATGAAGTAGTGTTGAACTCCTTATTTCCCCACTATTAATTATTTAAACTTAACATGAGAATACGTAAACATAAAACGACATCACATGAACGTTACGTCGTATGGCACTTCAGTATACTTTCCTTTCCCATGAAAACAGACAATCAAGTAGCTTGCATAAAAAAAGACTGTCAAAATGTTCCATACTTTTCCATACTTATCGATACATTCTCCACGATCTTAATGAACCATATAGCTATAGAGGGGTGGGAGTAGCTCAGTCTGTAGGGACTCGGGTTAGGAACCTGAGTGTCTCCATTTCAAGTCCTGGTGCGGATAAAAGTGGAAGTTGTATGAGAGGTGCCAGGCCAATCTTCAAGAGCAACCCTTGAGCAAGGCACCGAACCCCCCAACAGCTCTGTGTAGCAGCCCCAGTCTGACATCTCTCTGTTTAAGCATATGTGTGTATTTCTAACCTATGTGTCTCTCAATAACAGAGTGTAAAACAGAATTGCCCCTTTGAGATAAATGAAGGAGGCTATGTTGAAAAAAAAAACCTCAATGTGCCCAAGCTTCTTTTTTTTTTTTTTTTAAGACATCTTCTCACAAGACAGATGTCTGCAAGAGGAATGAATCCATCAAAGAGTGCAAGCTAACTCCTTCACACTGTCTAGATTACTCACATAAGTCGGCTACGAGGTGTGTGCAGGAGTTTGCTTGAAACCTTTGATTGATTTGATCATTTAAAACAACAAAGTTCCCAGTATTTGGTGCGTAGGACTTCTATTTTTGTTTCAGTGGTATCAATATCGTTTGATTTTTTTACTAGTCTCATGCCGTGGTTAAAATTATAGTATCATGACAACCCTAACAACTAGAAACAAGAGGAGATAAAATAAATACCAGAAAATATGAGAGCAAATCTGGCCAGGAGATATCTGAGGACGACTGGAATGACATTTTGAACAATCAGGTCACAACAACCTGTTCAAGGGCCTGGCGGGAATTCTGCTGGAAGAACTTAATTTGTTTCTTTATCACCCCAAAGTTGAAGTTTTTGCAGCAGGGTTTTCAGGGTCAGAACAAATGTTGGAGGCGATGTGATAAATCACTGGCAGATCACTTGCTCACAGGTCCAGCCATTTTGGAAGGAGGTTACAGAAGTAATGAGTGTCATGTTTAGAATAAACGTGGACTGCTCTTTTATCAAACTATACCGAGGCAAAATCACAGACAATCTCATGTCAGACGATAAATATCTCTTTAAGTCCTTCTGGTTGCAGCTAAGAAAGCAATCACACGGAAATGGCTGCAGGCAAACCCCTCCATCAAAGGATGATTGGTTAGCAATAATCAAAGAAATACACGGCATGGAGAGACCGACCTTCTCATTAAGGCTAAAGTTTGACCAATATATAAAAGTCTGGAAGAAATGGAATATGTACTGTACGGAAAGTAACTCTTCTTAAATGAAAAACCCTGATTGGTGTATTTTGACGAATGAATGGCCCAGGTTACCTTTTTTATTTTCTTTCCTTTTTTTATTCCCTTCTTTTCTTTTGTCTTGTTTTACTCTGAAAATATTTTTAAAAAAAGAAAATATGAGAGCAGAAAAAGAAAAGTGGTTAAGGCTTTCTACAAGTCTACAGTCTTCTGTTAATGTTTTAGACCCCTCGATCTTCTGCATAATATTTATGTTTGGACTTAGTTTAAAAAGTGTTGAACTCTGTACAGACACTGCAGGGGGCGGGATGATCCAACAGGGGGCGGTATGATCCAGCAGGGGGCGTTATGATCCAGCAGGGGGCGTTATGATCCAGTAGGGATCGTTATGATCCAGCAGGGGGCGTTATGATCCAGTAGGGATCGTTATGATCCAGTAGGGATCGTTATGATCCAGCAGGGGGCGTTATGATCCAGTAGGGATCGTTATGATCCAGCAGGGGGCGTTATGATCCAGCAGGGATCGGTATGATCCAGCAGGGGGCGTTATGATCCAGCAGGGATCGGTATGATCCAGCAGGGATCGGTATGATCCAGCAGGGATCGTTATGATCCAGCAGGGATCGGTATGATCCAGCAGGGGGCGTTATGATCCAGCAGGGATCGGTATGATCCAGCAGGGGGCGTTATGATCCAGCAGGGATCGGTATGATCCAGCAGGGATCGGTATGATCCAGCAGGGGCGTTATGATCCAACAGGGGGCGGGATGATCCAACAGGGGCGTTATGATCCAGTAGGGGCGTTATGATCCAGCAGGGGCGTTATGATCCAGTAGGGATCGTTATGATCCAGCAGGGGGCGTTATGATCCAGTAGGGATCGTTATGATCCAGTAGGGATCGTTATGATCCAGCAGGGGGCGTTATGATCCAGTAGGGATCGTTATGATCCAGCAGGGGGCGTTATGATCCAGCAGGGATCGGTATGATCCAGCAGGGGGCGTTATGATCCAGCAGGGATCGGTATGATCCAGCAGGGATCGGTATGATCCAGCAGGGATCGTTATGATCCAGCAGGGATCGGTATGATCCAGCAGGGGGCGTTATGATCCAGCAGGGATCGGTATGATCCAGCAGGGGGCGTTATGATCCAGCAGGGATCGGTATGATCCAGCAGGGGGCGTTATGATCCAGCAGGGATCGGTATGATCCAGCAGGGGGCGTTATGATCCAGCAGGGATCGGTATGATCCAGCAGGGGGCGTTATGATCCAGCAGGGATCGGTATGATCCAGCAGGGATCGTTATGATCCAGCAGGGGGCGTTATGATCCAGCAGGGATCGTTATGATCCAGCAGGGATCGGTATGATCCAGCAGGGGGCGTTATGATCCAGCAGGGATCGGTATGATCCAGCAGGGATCGGTATGATCCAGTAGGGGGCGTTATGATCCAGCAGGGGGCGGTATGATCCAGCAGGGGGCGTTATGATCCAGCAGGGATCGGTATGATCCAGCAGGGGGCGGTATAAGTGTTTTCCTCTGCCTGTCTGTCTGTCTGTGTTGTTTGTGTGCATGAAGAGTGGAAGCGGAGGGACGTGTTCTCAGGGCATTTAAAACAAAGAACCTGGACACTGTGTGTGTGTGTGTGTGTGTGTGTGTGTGTGAGAGATGTGACAGATTAGACACTGCCTTTCACCATTTGCACTTATGACAAAGAGGTATTTATTTGTATTTATCCGAGATTCTGTGAGGCCAAAGGCGGATCTGAACCAGGCGCTGTGTGGTGCTGCTTTGTTGTTGAGTCGAGTCGAGCCTGTTTACTTCAGTTAGTTGTTTCTGAAAGTAGAGAAAATGTCTACTGAGTGCCAGAAGACCAGTGCAAAGAGCATCCCGTCGACCAGGAGGGTGACCATCAACGACGCGGCGCACATGCCCCAGGACTACTCCACGACCCCCGGAGGGACCCTGTTCAGCACCACGCCGGGCGGTACGAGTCTGTTTCACTTTGTTAGAGGACACATGTTAGTGTTGTCCTGTTCAACAGCAGAGAGGTCAGTGTTCAGGCTGCAGCTCTGTCCATGTGCTCCCTCCTGTCAAACCACAGCTAGCTCTGGAGCTAACTGCTAACGCTAGTGTTTGGTCGACCAGAGAGGATCGGTTAACCGACTCTGACTAAATGAAACACTCGTGACATTAGAGGCGATTTGTTTTATTTACTTGTGCATTTGTTTTGTCGTGAATTCAGACCGTGTGTTAGGGTTTATTAGGACTTTTAAACCTGCAGATTTTGGGGACGTCAGCGACATCTACCGTCCTCTGACGTTAGTGACCAGTGTTGCCAGATCTCGCGAGAGAAACAAGCAACCAGCTCTATGGAAACAAGCCCAAAACAAGCGACCTGGCTCCTTAAATAAATAAAATGAAGCTCTATATATATATATATATATATATATATATATATATGCGCGTGTGTTTGTCTTGTCTCATTTTGATTTGGAAATGGACAAAATATCGCGATCTATCGCTTATAACAAGCGGACCTGGCAACACTGTTAGTGACGCTAGTTTGGGTGTTACGTCATCGACAACGTAATCCGTGATTGGTTGTTCACAGCTAACTCGCTTGTAGTTCGTTTTAACTGGAGAAGACACTAAAATACAGGTTGTCTTTAACATAAGAACTCAAAATATATCAGACCTAAACATTAAGCCTGATACTAACTTATATCATTATATTAATTATAATAATAATGATTATTAAATCAGACCTAAAGGCCTGATACTAACTTGTCATGTCTTAATTATAGAATTGGGTGTTCTGGCAAAAGTTCCCTAACCACCAAGGTGCACGACGAGGTCAAACAGCTCCAGCAACACTTGAAATATGAAAATAAACTTATTCAGACGATTTAGAATAGAATAGAATAGAATAGAATAGAATTACTTTATTGATCCCAAACTGGGAAATTGTGTCGTTACAGCAGCAGGTTTTCCAAACACACAATATGAGTAAAAAACACAATATTAACAAATTTAAACACAATATGATATTAAATACAAAGTAAATAAACACTAAAAATATCAAAACTAAGAATGAGAAT